TATCGAAAACGGTAAGTGCAAAATATACTAAACTATATATTTTTGAAATTAGCTAAAATATGTCTACCGGACCATGCTAAAATATGTGGGGGTTTCCATTTAAAAAAATCAAGATGGCGTCGTATCTGTCAAAATTGACGTTGCAAAAAATTTTAATGTAGAAAATCGGCATCCTCGCGAAAAATTACATTGAAATATCTTTTTACTATCTTAAAATAGAGAAGAGGAAAATTTTAAATTGGGTGAGACACTTAAAATGATTCTGGAACAATTCATTTTTAAATCCACTGTATATCGAAAACGGTAAGTGCAAAGTATACTAAACTATATATTTTTGAAATTAGCTAAAATATGTCTACCGGACCATGCTAAAATATGTGGGGTTTCCATTTAAAAAAAAATCAAGATGGCGTCGTATCTGTCAAAATTGAAGTTGTAAAAAATTTTAATGTAGAAAATCGGCATCCTCGCGAGAAATTACGTTAAAATATCTTTTTACTATCTTAAAATAGAAAAGGGGAAAATTTTAAATTGGGTGAGACTCTTAAAATGATTCTGGAACAATTCATTTTTAAATCCACTGTATATCGAAAACGGTAAGTGCAAAGTATACTAAACTATATATTTTTGAAATTAGCTAAAATATGTCTACCGAACCATGCTAAAATATGTGGGGGTTTCCATTTAAAAAAAATCAAGATGGCGTCGTATCTGTCAAAATTGACGTTAAAAAAATTTTAATGTAGAAAATCGGCATCCTCGCGAAAAATTACATTAAAATATCTTTTTACTATCTTAAAATAGAAAAGAGGAAAATTTTAAATTGGGTGAGACACTTAAAATGATTCTGGAACAATTCATTTTTAAATCCACTGTATATCGAAAACGGTAAGTGCAAAGTATACTAAACTATATATTTTTGAAATTAGATAAAGCTTGTCTACCGGGCGGTGTTAAAATTTGATGGGGTTTCTATTTAAAAAAAATCAAGATGGCGTCGTATCTGTCAAAATTGACGTTGCAAAAAATTTTAATGTAGAAAATCGGCATCCTCGCGAAAAATTACATTGAAATATCTTTTTACTATCTTAAAATAGAGAAGAGGAAAATTTTAAATTGGGTGAGACACTTAAAATGATTCTGGAACAATTCATTTTTAAATCCACTGTATATCGAAAACGGTAAGTGCAAAGTATACTAAACTATATATTTTTAAAATTAGCTAAAATATGTCTACCGGACCATGCTAAAATATGTGGGGGTTTCCATTTAAAAAAAATCAAGATGGCGTCGTATCTGTCAAAATTGACGTTGTAAAAAATTTTAATGTAGAAAATCGGCATCCTCGCGAAAAACTACATTAAAATATCTTTTTACTATCTTAAAATAGAAAAGAGGAAAATTTTAAATTGGGTGAGACGCTTAAAATGATTCTGGAACAATTCATTTTTAAATCCACTGTATATCGAAAACGGTAAGTGCAAAATATACTAAACTATATATTTTTGAAATTAGCTAAAATATGTCTACCGGACCATGCTAAAATATGTGGGGGTTTCCATATAAAAAAAATCAAGATGGCGTCGTATCTGTCAAAATTGACGTTGTAAAAAATTTTAATGTAGAAAATCGGCATCCTCGCGAAAAATTACATTAGGAAATCTTTCTACTATCTTTAAATACCAAACAGGAAAATTATAAATCGAGTGAGACACTTAAAATGATTCTGGAACAATTCATTTTTAAATCCACTGTATATCGAAAACGGTAAGTGCAAAGTATACTAAACTATATATTTTTGAAATTAGCTAAAGTTTGTCTAGCGGGAGGTGTTAAAATTTGATGGGGTTTCCATTTAAAAAAAATCAAGATGGCGTCGTATCTGTCAAAATTGACGTTGCAAAAAATTTTAATGTAGAAAATCGGCATCCTCGCGAAAAATTACATTGAAATATCTTTTTACTATCTTAAAATAGAGAAGAGGAAAATTTTAAATTGGGTGAGACACTTAAAATGATTCTGGAACAATTCATTTTTAAATCCACTGTATATCGAAAACGGTAAGTGCAAAGTATACTAAACTATATATTTTTGAAATTAGCTAAAATATGTCTACCGGACCATGCTAAAATATGTGGGGGTTTCCATTTAAAAAAAATCAAGATGGCGTCGTATCTGTCAAAATTGAAGTTGTAAAAAATTTTAATGTAGAAAATCGGCATCCTCGCGAGAAATTACGTTAAAATATCTTTTTACTATCTTAAAATAGAAAAGGGGAAAATTTTAAATTGGGTGAGACTCTTAAAATGATTCTGGAACAATTCATTTTTAAATCCACTGTATATCGAAAACGGTAAGTGCAAAGTATACTAAACTATATATTTTTGAAATTAGCTAAAATATGTCTACCGGACCATGCTAAAATATGTGGGGGTTTCCATTAAAAAAAACCAAGATGGCGTCGTATCTGTCAAAATTGACGTTGTAAAAAATTTTAATGTAGAAAATCGACATCCTCGCGAAAAATTACGTTAAAATATCTTTTTACTATCTTAAAATAGAAAAGGGGAAAATTTTAAATTGGGTGAGACACTTAAAATGATTCTGGAACAATTCATTTTTAAATCCACTGTATATCGAAAACGGTAAGTGCAAAGTATACTAAACTATATATTTTTGAAATTAGATAAAGCTTGTCTACCGGGCGGTGTTAAAATATGTGGGGGTTTCCATTTAAAAAAAAATCAAGATGGCGTCGTATCTGTCAAAATTGACGTTGTAAAAAATTTTAATGTAGAAAATCGGCATCCTCGCGAAAAATTACATTAGGAAATCTTTCTACTATCTTTAAATACCAAACAGGAAAATTATAAATCGAGTGAGACACTTAAAATGATGTCCCTGTACATGTATACGGCACCAGCACAATCCCATTGGTCAGATTTGAATTTTAAACCAATTAAACTCCGAGTGCCATACGCGAGTATGGAATGTAAGACAGTGCCATATGCACTTACGGAATGTACCTTAGACATACTATTAACGCTTTGTTATAGAGCATTCCAACCGAAACCAAACCAACCCCACCAAATAGCTAACCTAACCAACACAATCAACCCCACCAAATAACCCTCTTAACCAACGTAACTAACTCCACCAAATAATCAATCTAACCCCACCAAAAAGAGTGAAACCAACGCAATCTGTATTTTGATTGCTATTAAATATTTACAGTTTTTTTTTAAATAAAAACAGTTTGGTTTGGTTTGGACTGAGCCACAGCTACTCTTTGAAGATTAGCTATAGCCGGGCGTTACTTTCTGCTGCAAGCATAATTACCAGGTACATTCCGTAAGTCTTACATTCCATACTCGCGTATGGCACTCGGAGTTTAATTGGTTTAAAATTCAAATCTGACCAATGGGATTATGCTAGGTGCGGTATACATGTACGGAATGTATAAATGCAACCGGCATACCGGTTGTAGGACCGGTACTTCGTACTGAAATCGTAGGATCGAACATCCCTACGTACAGAAGGCACTAACTTCGGAACTCAGTTCGTTCCTTTTCGTTCCGAAGTTTCGTCTGCATGTGGTTTGTCGGAGATTGAATTCGTTGCGATTAGGTATTTCAGTTTCAGTCATTCGGTCTATCCAGTCATTAAAATTTTACGTTGTTACGTACCTAGGTTCTTTTTACGCTTCGAAATGGATTTTTTTATCGCTATGGTTTTAGAAGAAGAACAGGATGGTGATGATGAGTCTGCGTTATTAGAAGTATGTTCTGAACATAATACAGTTCTGAAAATGTTTGAGAATAGGGACAAAGAACATGCTTACAAACTGTTAGTCTTAAAGCGTCTTTCGGATAATAATACAAAGTTCAAAGAATTTTTCCGTTTAACTCCACCGAATCTAACTATTCCATACTGTACTAAATTACATAAAAAAATAAAAAAATGTACAAAAATATAGCAAATTAAATCACTGCAAGGATTGATAATCTAAACGAAAAATAAAATAACATGTTCTGACTCAATCAGATACAAATAAGATACAAATGTATGGCTCAGGCATTTGTAGATGTTAGTAATAATAGAAAAACATGATCTTAGATTTTTAAAACAAAACTACATAAGTCTTTTTTTGGTATACAGGTTGTTAATTTGTTTATTACTCGCGGAAAGAGCTTTATGTTTGAAATATGGCAACCTCGGCCCGGGGGATGACGAGGTGGCAGAAAACCCTATAAGTGCATGCGTTCTCAATAGATAGTGTTGCCATTCTGTTCCCCTATAAGTAACTGTCCAGTTAACAATCTGTTAACAAATATGTTACGGTTAAAGTCCGATGTCCGGTTCATGTCGACATTAACAGGTTAATGTTTGGGTTTAGTTTTGTTTTCGGTTGTTTTGTTGTGTGTTATTCTCGAGATTAACCGGGTAATGTCGATATTAACCAAATATCGGACCTTAACTGTAACATATATACCTTCTAAACGTTAGCCATTTTTTGTTGGCTAAAAACATTATTTGTTCTACGTGTAAAATGGCACTGAAAAGCTGGTTTCCGTTTAGATTCTATTCGGTGGCATTTAAAATTCATTTGATCGTTTAAATCAAAATTAGTTTGATACAGATGAGCTGCTGTCCGCATACGTTCCCGAAATTTAATTCCGATCTTTTAGACAAACCGCTACTGCGTACTATATATATACTGGGTTTAGCCGGAACGTTAACGAACTTTTCGTGCTATATCACCGACATATTTCGGGCCGATCTGGTCAGAAAAACCAGGCCTTCATACAACTTTTGCATAAAATCATCTGAGGAGGTAATATTTGCCTTTTCAAAATTTACATGGATTATATGTCCCGTGTTCCGATGCACCACACGGTATATTTTTTACATTTTGATATAAAAAATAGTTTTCTTCATAAAATGTTTTTTTAAACGTAAGAAACTATAGAATCTAGAAGTTTAACCCATTTTTTTTTCAGGAATTGCAGGTATAAGAACAGAAGTTTCATTAGGTACACAAACCGTACAAGAACTTCCAGAAATTCGACCTGTGAGTCCTACAGAGGGCAATGTCGACAACGGGATCCCAGTTACTCCATCAAATACTCCACAAACACCAATAAGTGGCAGGGAATCTCCAAATCAAGAGCGAGACTTGCAGGCCACAGTGGAACGAATATCTAATTTAAGATTAGACTCGGATAGAAATGATTTTGCGGACACAGCAAGTGAAGAACATAGGACTGATAGTGAAAGTGAATCAGAGAGAGTACCCAATTCTTTTAGAAATGGAAGTGGTATAGGGACACATTCGAGGAAAGATTATCAGCATTGATTGATTTTTTATTACAGGAATACCGGCTTAAAACATAGAAGAAAATTATATAATTGTGTAACTTTGAAGATCTATTGTGTGAGAATAAAAATTAAAACTTATTTTTAACTCAAACTTTTTCAACTATTTTCTTTTCAATTTGAAATTTTAACTAGTTTTAAAAGATGTAGCAGTCTTCTTTTGTGAATCCGACTATACATCTCTAATTAATAAAATTATTTATTAAATTATAAACTAATTAATAAAAAATCAGTGTCAAAGCATGTCTTTAATGAATATAAAGGCTGTCCCCAACGATCCAGGGAGGATTTCGATAGACAAATTAAAAAAAAATACAGTAAATTCAATTTACCTGTGAATTTAAACGACAGACAACTGTCACTGTCAGATATTCTCTCATTGGACTGACTTTAATTTTAGTCTGTCTTATTAGACAACATTGTGTCGAACACAGCGTGGAATTAATTTCTATATTAGCAGTTCAAGGCAAGAAACTCTTATATAATTTTATTATACATATATATATATATATATATATATATATATATATATATATATATATATATATATATATATATATATATATATATATATATATATATATATATATATATATATTATAATATACTTTATAGGATACCTCCTAATCGAAATCGTCCAATCTCCTTGTACTGTACAGAATTTATATATCAAATGGAAAAAACTTGTATAATACTTTGCTTGTTCTAAAATGGTTAATCCTGCTTATACTTTTCCCAAATCTCCATACCGTTTTAGAGAAAATTAAAAAAACCTGAAAATATGGTTGAATTTTTTCCTAAAGTGCTAAAAATCAAAAGGCGTTTCTACGGTAATAGCATTTCGATCTCATTCTTTGATGGATGGTTATTATTAATTTCGATTAAGGGCATATTTCTTGCTGTTGTTAAAGTATCTCATTTTCCGATAACTTTTATCACACAGTGCTAGGGAAAGCATTGAATTAAATAAATTTTGTGCTTCTCTAACATTTTAAAACAACAAAAAAAATTCTATTAAATAACAATCTGTCAAAGAATGAAATAGAATGATATTTCAAGGATATTACCATAAAAACGCCTTTTGATTGTTAGGACTAAAATTCAACTATATTTTCATGCTTTTTTTAATTTTTTCTAAAACGTTATGGAATTTTGGAAAAGTATAAACTGGATTAACCATTTTAGAACAAGAAAATTTTTTTTATGAAGAATGCATTTTTCTCAAAATGTCAGTAATAAAAAAGTTTTTCCTCTTGTAAAGACAATCCAGGGATATACTGTAGAAAAAACTAAAATGTATATTAAGTAGGAATGGTGAGCTTCAAACTTACAAAAAATATATTTTTAAGATAAATTCAAATTTTATTTGTGGTAATTTTTATATCGATTTATAATAAATGGCCGCTAGGTGTCGATCCGATTAAAATTATTAATGATTGTCATTTCAATGGCTACTACAAAGCCGTTTTTTTCGACCTTCTTTTTGACCTATTCATTAAATAATTTTTTGTCAATCATTTTTGGCTTTAAGCATAAGAAAAAGATATATTGTAGTGGCACCACCTAAATAACATAAAAACGGATATTTATAGTAGTTTTGACATTGATTTTTTCATCAGATAATAAATAATAAAACGGTATGTATATACTGATAAATATAAATATCGACACATGATGAATATTTCTGGTAGTGGGAATAAAATATATTTATATATAAAATATTTTTATTTTGTGCAACATATTACAAAGTATATACGCTTATGTACTGTAAGGCGAATCAATAAATAATCGAATAAAAAGCATCTTAATAACAGAAAAACAGACAAAATTAACAAGTTCTTTGATTTCATTCAATAACTGGTCCAACACAACAAAAGTATATAAAACTATTTACAAAAATCGTGTATAAATAAATAAACAAAATAGGATTTTGCAGCATAACAGCGCTTTCAGATGGAGCGGAGAGTCCGCGCGGACGCAATCGTCGGACGAAATCATCCGGACGGAGCATACGCGACCCATGTGAAATTTTTCATATAAAATCATGGTACTTGCTCGAAGTCCGCTCCAATCTGAAAGCGCTGTAAATCTTATTAATTATATAAATAGTGATGTATAGTTGTAAAGTGCATGAAAATTTATGAACTTTTGCTAAATGAGGCGATGTATTTTTAACTATTGTTTCTATGGAATTAAAATAAATGTTCTGTGCTAAAAATCTATCAGGTGAAAAAATCGTAGAATACTTAATATACAGGGTGCAAATACGTAAATGAAAAAGAAGCAGAGCTTATATTAACCAAGTTTTATTTTTTTTAAAACCCTCCCTTAATTTATTCACACCCTGTATATTTTGAATAAATAGGGTTTCAAATTAATAACAGTCCATATATGCTTCATTTGTAAATTATAAATATACTGTTTAAGGCACGGTAACTAAAATCCTATATATTAATAAAAAAATCTTTGGTATATGTTTGTTTTTTTAAATTTCCATACACTTTCATTGTTTGTTCCTGTTACTATAAAATAGAAACTAAAAACAACGTTTATAACAAGTTGTGACTTAAAAAATAAATAAACAGTACGTAATTCGCTGTCAATATACAGGGTGGTTTATGTTAGATGGTAGGTCAAGCTTCTACAGGGTGTTTCAAATTCGACTCTCACTATTGGGATCTAGGAAACAGTAGAGACACCGGGTGGCTTAAAATGGAGCAAAGTTACCTATTAGTGAGCTCAATGGTAATCCGTTTAGTAACTGAAGTTTGACATTTCCGGAAATGTGACGAAAAAAGTGAAATTTCTGGTTTGCATTTTTAGTTTATTTTGACCATTAGAAAAAAAATCTATAAAGGTATTCTCAATCTCCTTAGGTTCATCCTTTGGTGACGTGAAAAATCACTTACGACGTTTCATTTTTCTAGAGCCACCATCAACTTTATTTTTCTAAATGCGCATATGGTTTTGTTAATTAAATTTTTACAAGCTTATGACCTCCCAAATACAATGATGTAGAGGATTTGCCCAAGATAAGTAGAATGAAGAATATTCTTATAAGAGGTAATGTCTTGGAGAGAGATGGGTATAAGGGTCACTTTCGTTATCTGCGTGTAAAAAACAAGCAACATTTTTTTGGTAAGTGCGATATACACCATTGTAAGATGGGTGAACCATGGAAGGCCATGCACCTTTGAGGCCAACTATAAAAAAGTCATAGTTATTGTCATGTAATGACAATTTCTTTCCACTCACACTAAGCTCCATTAAACTCAAGAACATAGAAAGAAAGAAAACTAAGTACTAAAGAAAAAAATTGATTGCAAAATGATTACATTTTGCTTTGATTTCAGTTAAAATATCGGTAGTATTCCTATGAGCGCCGGTGGTTCCTTATAAGTTCGTATCAAGCCAATAAAAATTTGACGGTTGGCCTTGCTGGGGTACACGGGCCTTACTAGGAACATTTACAAATAATCATGATAATATGAACACTTAGTTTTTAGTTATAAATACGTACTGGGAAAGTTGAAACAATGTTTTAAGTTTATAATATTATTATTTATTTTATTTAGGGTTATTGAACTTTTTAGCTAAAAAAACATTTTAGCTTTACAAAGAACAAACCCATAAGGCCTTTATAGGTAATTTTTTGGTAATTAATTCTAAAACGCATTGGCAATTTATTTGTTATCCATATAATACTCATTACTATAATTTTTTAATAATTTCCATTAATATATTCTTGGTTATACGATAACGTTCAAGGTAAGTTTGTTGAGTTTTTTAAAGAATATTATAATATGTTAAGCATTTTATTTTTCGTTTAAATGAAAGATTTTTATGTAGTTGTAGTAAAAGTGGATATTTTAATTAATACAACTCTAGTTTTAAGTTGAATGACTGATTTATAATATTGGCCTTGTATGGAGCCCTGTTCCTGACAAGGCAATTTGAGAGTGCTTAATTTTTGTTAAGTTTAATAAATAGTGATTACATCTAGAATAAAAAAAAAGTAATGTATATGTTACACAATAAAACAAAGTGTTAATAATTTGTTTCTTTCATTTATCCAGTAAATGAACTAATAAAAACTGTTTATTCGTTAGAGTGACCTTCCAAGGTCCACCCACCTTATTTGGGAGGTTGTAAGCTTATAAAAATGAAACAAAAAATCCAGACTGTATTTAAATAACAATATGATGATACGACGATGATAGCCTTAGAAAAACGAAACGTACTAGGTTATTTATGACCTAACCACAAAAGATAAAGCTAAAAAATTTTTTGTCAAAATAAACTCTTAAAAATTTAATTTAATTAATTAAATATTTAATTTTCAGTTTTTCCGCCATATTTTCGGAAATGACACAGATAAGTAACAGGCAACTTTGTCCAAATTTAAGCCACCCTGTAAATCTTACCTTTTCCGAGATCCCAAAGGTTGAATTTGAAACACTCTGTATGGAGAATGGGTGATGGCATTTCTTTGATATCTTGTAATCATAAACTTCTAACCGACCATTACGATGACCCTGTATACCTACCTAATAATGACAGTACCAATTTAAAAGAAAACAATAACTAACTATAGTAGTTATACCGTATGATCGAATAAAAACGGCGTCAACGATGGCTATGAAATGAAGATCGCTGTCATTTTATATGTAAAATTATATGGGAAATGTCATCGATCATTTCCAAGCCAACTGGACGCCGTTTTTTTTTCGATCATACGGTAGTTGTCAATGTATTTCAAGCATCTCTATGTATATATGTATTACTCTATTGAAATACTTAGAAAAGGTGTGTACCTTTCAACATAATAATTCTTTAATTAAAATAAATATCTCACTCATAAATTCGTCTAGAAAATTTAATAGAATAAAAATAATGTACCAAAAATGGGCTACCAAATAATTAATAACAATTTTATATTCCTAATAACAATTATTTATCTAGGAAATTATGAAAAAAACGTATTGACTATTTTTCTATTAATTATATTTGGTAGCCGATTAGGAATATTTGCTAAAATACTAAAACTAAATAAATAGACTAGTTACTTGGGATCAATGGATTTCTGCGTTCCGGATACCGTGACCTCTCCACATCCAACCTAAGGCTTTGTTCACATTGAATATAATCCAGGGAAAAAATCCCACGCCTTTTATCACTCTTCCACACATAAATTTTATGTAATCAGTAGAAAAATATTAAGGAAATACTTTATTTGGAAATATTTCTAAGATACACTGACAGGCACGAAAATCGGATACCTTAAAATTTTCATGTATTTTAAAAAGTTCAATATATTATTATTTTGTTGTAGTGGGCTGATTTTGATCATTGCGTAATTAAATAATTTGAATTTTTAACCTCTTCTAAATTAAAAATTAAACTCCTCATCTGTCTATTATACGTATAAAAAGAAAATGAAGGGTCCAGGGGAAAACCATGATAACTACTAATTTTACAGAAGAGCACTGGACGGCTGATGGTTATCAGGTACTTTCCGTGTATTCTATATTTTTACTAGGCATATGCAGGGTGATTCCTGTAAGCCGGGCATGCTTTCGGGGAATGATAGGGGACGTCGAAATATTAATTTTGATATAGCACACTATAGGTCGGAAATACTTCTTACGCAAGATCAGGGTGTTAAAGTTTTTGAAAAATTAAAGATATTGTTACGTTTTTCGTCGGTTCCGTGTGGATAGAAAGTCACAATTTATTTAACACTAATTAATCGTTACTTAACTATTTATAACTTATTTACAATTTATCTAATTATTTATCTAACAGCAATTTATTTTGAATTAGCGCGGCGATTGTGTAACTGTACGCGTCGATCGGTTATTTTCTCTCTATCCTCTTCAGGTTTCGGGCATCGCTTATATATGAGAGAAACAGACAATCCAGACTTATCTCGAAAATTCTTAGCGGCGTTCTTCGAACGTCGGTGGGCGTATGAGTCATAGCAGGCGCCTGAAGCCTAAGGCCGAGTTCACACGGTACGGGTCCGCAACATAGACTTAGAATAAAATATAGACTGAGCATCTCATTCATAAATAGCTGGAAGATGCGGACAGACAACGTCTTGTTATTGTTGTGTTATTGTTTTTGGCTCTAACGAGTGCGACACGAGCGATAGATAGGCTGTCTCCGTCGTAACGGTCGTTTCCTGACGGCTCTGCCGCCCAACGACACTGTCTTTTTTGTTTCTTCAGTGCACCTGCACTCTCCGTATCATAGGCGGGTATTTTTTTAAATTTTAATGAAGCTATAATTCAATTAAAAATATATCGTATTTAAACTTTTTATATTATTAAGATTTAGGATAAAGAAAATAGTTTAATATAAAGCAAAGTTTAGGACTTAGAAAAAAACGTCTTAGAGTCTAAAAACGATAAAAATAATAAAGTACGTGTTATAGAAGAAATTTTAATAATCGAAATTATTTAATTTTTGAAATTGATGATAAATTATTAATTTAATAAAATATTAATTTTAGTCAAACATTTACAACTCTAATATTAATCAAAACAGGATCTATTCTATAGATATAATAGAACAGAAAGAGAAAAAACTTTATAATTGTTTAATTTTTTTTTCCGGTAAAAGTGATGTCTTATTATGTAAATTAGAAAAAACAGGAATCTGTTCCATTAAAGCAAGCTTTTAGGAAGTGAATAAAATGAAAACTACATTTATTTAACTCGTTACTGTCTTTATTATAGAGTAAGTATAATAATGGTAATGGTGACTATACTTTATTCAATGGAAATATGCACCAAATTCAAACAAATATAAAAGGCATGAGTATAAACAGTATTACTACAGTAATATTGAACATTGGTTCAAAAATATTACATTAATATAATACAATATTACTGTAGGTATTACTGTCAACGTGCAAGCTTGTTTGAAGCTTGATGTATTTGTATGCGCTTGGTACATCTTGGCGTTGGAAAATGTATAGAAAATTATTAAGAAAAACTAGTACGTAATGGGGGATATCTTGATATACAGAGTGGTCGGAATTGTATTCAGGAAACTTTGGCAGCATAATCTGCAAATAAAATCAGTAAAAAAAATAGTATAAATTTATGTCCTAAAATGCTTCGTTTCAGAGATACAGAGTGTAGAAATTTCATTTTTATTTCGCTTTTTTCCAAATAATTTATGAAGAATGTATTGATTAATTCGTTTCCAAATATCTTGAGAACTATACTTGTGGCGAGTGTCAACAAGAGACCTTATTAAGTAAAAAACGTTGGAAATGTAAATTTTTCTCAGTAGTTTTATATAGATACAGACAAAAAGTATTACTCTTCAAATAACTTAAAAAATATGTAGGTGGCGCCCCCTATTAGTAAAAGTCAAATTGACATCTAAATCTAATTTTTCATGTCAAAAAACTCCCAAACGCCAATTTTCGTCCAAATATTGACGTCACTTCAGAAATTATTTGGAAAAAAATCGAAATAAAAATGAAACTTCTACACCCTGTATCTCCGAAACGAAGCATTTTAAAAACTTACAAGTTCATTTTTTTAGAAAGCCAATGCAACATTTCTGAGTTTCAAATAAAGATAAAAAACAGTAAAACATATAATAATAATATGTAAATTATTTTCTTGGATACATACATATATGGCAAATAATAACAGATTGTTTTATTAAAGATTTACGTTTTGGTTAATTCTAAAACTATCTTCAGATTATATGTGATATTACTTAAGTGATATTACATTATAAAAGAAAAAATGAAAATTATACCTTATAATCGAAAAAAAACGGCGTCAGCGATGGCTATGAAATGAAGATCGCTGTCATTTTATATGTAAAATTATATGGAGTATGTATCGATGGTTTTTTCCAAGCCAACTGGACGCCGTTTTTTTCGATCATACGGTATTACAAATTAATAATAGATTAACAGTCGAGAAAAAAAAAGAAAAAACTCTAGGTAAGTACTGGATAAATTTTAAAATGGCATATTTATTTTATCTTTGTTTAATATAAAAAAAACGAAATATCTACCTGGTTTACATAACCCTGTATAATTTGTGAAATAATAATGGACAAAAATGCAAGCGGTAAGAAAAATATTTACAAAAAATATGTACTTGTTTACATTTCTGGACCATTGTTCGTCATTTTTGTTATCATAATGGTGACCCTATCATAAAAACGTAGTTATTTCTATACCTGATGTGAAACTATAGGGAAAAAGTAATGTTTGTAAAATATTTTAGTCTTGAAAAAAAATAAGGAATGTTTGGTATTTTAAAATGTTTGGTAGCTTGTAATTTTTTCGACTTTCTCGATTGTTTATAGTTTATAATAAGCCTTAAAAATTGTTGTTTCATAATGGAATATCATTCTGGAATTCCTGTATGTTATTTTAGATTCTAAGGATGGTTTTAGAATAAAAAGAAACACATTTTTCATAAAAAAAAGCATTAAATTAACCAATGCCCAAGAAAATAATGTGTCTACTTCTTATGTACTTAATAATGTATCTACTCGTTATATTAATAACGAGGTTAGTAAGAACCTTTACGTAAATGATAAATATAAAAAATACAGATTTTCCAGGGTTTATAATTTACTAAATTATTATCTAAATAAGCGCCTTTCTACAACGCCACTGACGCCAAAATAGTAAATTTGACTTACCTGTGGAATGTTGTTCCAGGACTTAAATAGTCCAATTTCTTACAAATTTGGCACTGACGAACCATGTTTTATAGTTTTTAAATAAAAAGTAATCAAAATAAACACTAAACCGACACTACACACTAAGAAAATCGAATCCAAAAAATACAAAATCAAAACATCCAATAAAAACAATAAAATAGCCATGGAGAAACTGTGACAACAAGGTTTTACGACACGTGCTTTACTCTACTATGGCTCTACTACGAGAGAGAATAAAGAATGAACAGGCGACCCGGCGATTGATGGGTGTTGCCAAATTGTAAAAGAATTTGTCATTTTTAAATAGTCTCCGACTTATAATTTAGTAGTATAGGGACTATTTAATACATCTTTCTACTATTAAACACTACTTTATTAAAATACAGTTTTAATATCTCAATATATGTGTATAACAACAAAAAAAATATTAATAATATTTTAGACGTGACAACATAGGCTGGAGGCGAAAGACTCAGACGGCCGAGGTCAGCTGCACCCAGGAGTAAACATGTTTACAAAAATTAATATTGGACCGCGCTTAAATGTAAATAGTGTAGTCTATATTTTATTCTAAGTCTATGGTCCGCAACAATATTTTTTAATAGTTTTTTAACAGTTGAAGGTATCGTTATAAAATTTTATTATAGGAGTCCACCTAACAGAGACGCTTTAAATGTAAAAAGAAGAGGTTTTAGTTTCAACCAGTGGCGTAGATGTGGTACGCATCGGGTAATTTTAAAAAAAAAAACATAGTTTTTTTATTTACTCGGTTTATTTCCAAGAAAAAATGTCTCTTGCAACTTTCTCCTATCTAACACCATTTTGTCACAATTTAAAAATAAATATTTTTTTAATGAGAACCTTAAATGTGCGAATTATTATAACTACCTTAAAACTAAGAACTATAAGAAGAAAAATAAAAAAAATTCTAGTTTAATTTATAATTTTTTAAAAATTACCCAAGATGTGTAATAACTCTAACCTTGGTCTATTTAAATTCACTTATAAGTGATGAAGGGAGCTAACCATGTATGTGTTTCTGCCCTCTATTTATAATAATTCGCTGTATTTAAGTTTCTCATTAAAACATTTATTTATTTTTAAATTGTGACAAAATGTTGTTAGATAGGAGAAAGTTGCAAGAGACATTTTTCCTTGGAAATAAACAGAGTAAATAAAAAAAACTCCGAAATTTTTATTTTTTTCAGTGGCGTACTATTTTTTTCGAAAAAATTACTCGATGCGTATCACATCTACGCCACTGGTTGAAACTAAAACCACTTCTTTACATTTTTACAACGTGTCTCTGTTAGGTAGACTCCTATAATAAAATTTTATAACGATACCTACAGCCTACAACTGTTAAAAAACTATTAAAAAATATCTTTAATTTTTCAAAAACTTTAACACCCTGTATCTTGCGTAAGAGGCATTTGCGACCCATAGTGTGCTTTGTCAAAATTAATATTACGACGTCCCCTATCATTCCCCGAAAGCATGACCGACTTACAGGAATCACCCTGTATACACATGGCCAAAATGATTGCATATAACGGTATATTTTTTATTTTGGACCTAATATGATTCTTTTTATATTTTTGGACATATTGGTTTACTACACGACTAACTAATATAAAATTAAAAATCTAAGTGCAACTAGGCTGTTATTATAATTTTATTTCATAATGGGTGAAAATCAACAAAAACAAATATCATTTTAAACAGAAAATATTGAAAACAATTTTAATTATTTCTCACAACTAATAGTCTCTATTGCCGCCTCGAGCCTCAATGCAAGCTGTGAGACGACGTGGCATGCTCTCAATTAAGTTGTCCAGAAGATGTTGAGGAATGGCTTCCCGTGTTTCGCGCGCAGCAATTTTCAATTCATTGAAGGTACGGGGGGGATCATTCCTTTTGGCCATATGGCGTTATAGCATGTCCCAAGCATGCTCGATCACAAACATATCTGGAGACATCGGTGGCCACCACAGTTTTCTTGACCCTCTTCCTCACAAAATTCGCGAACCGAAGTGCGATGGGGAGGAGCATTATCGTCCATGTAAACAAATTCATCCCCCACTGCTCCTTGAAATGGACGCACAAGAAAATAAGAAAACTGTAGTGGCCACCGATGTCTCCAGATATGAATGTGATCGAGCATGCTTGGGACATGCTAAAACGCCATACCTTAAAGGAATTGAAAATTGCTGCGCGCGAAACATGGGAAGCCATTCCTCAACATCTTCTGGACAACTTAATTGAGAGCATGCCACGTCGTCTCACAGCTTACATTGAGGAGGCAATACAGACTATTAGTTGTGAGAAATAATTAAAATTGTTTTCAATATTTTGTTTAAAATGAAATTTGTTTTTGTTGATTTTCATTCATTATGAAATAAAATTATAATAACAGCATAATTGCACTTAGATTTTTAATTTTATATTAGTTAGTCGTGTAGTAACCAAACCAAGCCAATATGTCCAAAAATATAAAAAGAATCATGGATTCTTTATACCACGAAAAGACCAGTGTGACCTTTGTGAGGCGTATAAAAATTCACTGGTGATGATAAGCAAGTTTTTGAAAATAAATATAATGAACATTTAGAAGAAAAAGAATTAAGCAGAGCAGAAAAATATAAAGATAAGGAAAGAGCCAAAAACAAAGAAATTACGTTAGCCGTGTATGATCTACAGACACACAGGCTGTATTACCTGTTCCAACTGGACAAACATCTGCCTTTTTTTTATAAAAGTCGCAATAATTAACTGTTACAATTTCACCGTAAGTAAAAATTTTGCAGGTATCAGAAATTGGAAGCGATAAATCTTATTGATTTTTTGGCACGAGGGATTAGGCTGCAGGGGTGTTACCGAAATTGGAAAAATTAACGAAATATTATAATGGTCGCCTTAGTATTTACTACATTTTTTATCTCTTATAAAAAACGCCACATCACATAGTATTTGAGAAAATTTTTTAGAGAATTTTTTTTTTGAAAACAGACCTACAAAATATACTGAGAGTTCCAATATTCCGTGGACATAGAACAACTACGTATTTTTTGAATCAAAATAAGTTAATTGCACATAATTTACCTTTATACAAAAATGCTTCTTTTGTCCGTTAGAAGGCATAAATCAAAAATAAACCTGAACGTTAATTTAATATTTATTACTTTTTTAAGCTTTTTAAGAAGCTTATTGTCAATTATAATTTGTGATACTAACATAAAATTCCATATTTTCGCCAACTAATTTATTAGAGCATAATAGATTCTATGCGCCTCCATAGCTTGATGTGATAAAAAACATTTTTTGGAAGTCAGCTTCGGAAAAATATTTTTTTTCTTCAAAACGTATGCGCAGTAGCGTTTTTTTGCAAGAGACAAAAAATGTAGTAAATACTAGAAGGACCGTTTTACGAAAAAAAAAAAAAAATTGGTCGTCGGTTGAGTTAGCAAATATTTATACTAAAATTTATGTAGGGGTGGGGGTAGTTTTTACCTTTCTCGTACTTTTTCCTGATTTTTGTGAAAGTTAAATGTTAAAGCACTTTGCAAAACATAGACACTCAAAATCTCATTCAAATCGGAATAATGGTTCATATAATATCTGAAAAAATTGTTTATTTTTTTAAAGTTTGATGCTCTCTAGCGGACATACGAAGCACTTTTGTATAGAGGTAAATTCTGTCCAATAAACTTATTTTGATTCCAAAAATACATAGTAGTTCTATGTCCACGGAATATTGGGACACTCTGTATATTTATGGTAATTTTAAATGTATGTGAGTGTATTTTAACGTATTATTTATTGTTTCTGCATGCTTGTAGCATTTATTGATCATGTTAAAAAATATGACGTACCTATATGTAATTTTAAGATTTTTGTTAGCAAGTAGTATAATTTCAAAGCTTTGTATTAGGATCTCCTATATTTTGAATTAAATAAATAAATTATTCCTTATTTTGTAAAACCATTCTACAGGGTATTTCAAACTTTCGCCAAAATAACAATATTTTGTATTTCCACATATAATGGATTAATTTTTAATTTAAAAAGAGCATAAAAACTCAAATAATTGAGCTATACATTACTTCAACATCATCAAAATCGGACTACTAGAACAAAATATATTGAACTTAAAATACATCATTTCTTTAATCAGTTTTTTGAATGTAGTAGAATGATTCAGCATGGAAACTAAAAGAATTTTGGACTTCCATTGTCTTTATTTATTTTATTTACATAACATTTTGGTGAGAACCTTGTGTGAATAAAATACATAAAGACAATGGAAGTCCAAGTCATGTGTTTTTTGTACCAGTCAATGTAGAATACCACACTACTATGTGTATATACTACCGTATGATTGAAAAAAAATGGCATCAGCACTAGCTATGAAATGAAGAGTGCTGTCATTTTATATGTAAAATTATATAGGGAATGTCATTGATTGTCATTTCCAAGCCAAATGGACGCCATTTTTTTTTCGTTCTTACAGTTGAATTGTTAAAATACTATGAAAAAGGATATTATAGTGACCAAGGTGGATGTCCATCATTTATATAAAGGACATACATAAAACCATCTTTACATTTCCCTTTGATTGAATAATAATAAGGCAAGAACGTATGAAGCCTAAATCTAGAACAAAGTATGTATCACAAATATTATCAACACAATTTGTTGTGGCTTACTTTCTTTTCTCGTAAAACCTAATGGCAGCTGAATTTGTTGTAAGGACGTGTAAAAAAACTGCTTTAACTTTTCTTCTTTCTGGGGTTAACAAATTCTTTAGCAGTGAATCTAATAATAATGTTGCTATTCCATTTCTCCGGAATTCTTTAATAACTCCAAGGGATAAAATATAAGCTATATCACAATCTCGAAAGCATTTCGCTAAGATTCCTGAATCTTCTTCGTTCAAACATGAATGTCGTTTAATTTCTGCAACTATGAGTCCTATAATTTGATGCTTATATACAGCTGCTAATGAATAAAACCGGCTGGAATAAAACCTTCTGTTTAGAATACATTTTTAATACATAAAAGATTCTATAATAAATATCATAAAGAAAAATTTAATTGAAGATATCTACACTTAACTCTATTGTTATATATGTATATGTATATAATGAATGAATCACTGTAATCAATGCTCATCATATCTATTAAGCCTCTTTGTTATAAATAAGTCATTTGATAAAAAGTATTTAAACTCTGAACTCTTATTAAAAGGTTACATCTAAGAAACTAGTTACCAAATAATTCTAAATATAGGAATAATAGATACACACCTATTACTTGAAGTTATTTCTTCATACCAGTAAAAAGGATATTCAATTGGAAACCAATCTTGGCATAGTGTTCGTACCTCATCCAGATCTTCTGGACATAAAAATCTAAGCTGAACATCAGCTAATGAACACAAAAATATTTCGTCATTTCCCATGGTCGAATAACCGTTCATATACTTCCCATTTTGTTGATACCTGGAAAGAAATTAAAATATGAGATAAGTATTCCGAAATAACTTAATTGAATACTGAAAGGAATACATCTCAATTGGATAATAAGATGAGATTAAATAACAACAGAATAATAAAATTACCAATTAATATTTGCCATTTCTATCTATTGCTTTCAATGAACACTATATTCCATCATTATAACTTTAAAGCATTTTCTATTTCGTTTAAATTCACTTCAAAAAATTCTTTAAAAACCTTTCTATCATTTTCTTGTGATTGTTGTTGACATTATTATTTACCACTTATTTAGAATGTCAGGTGAGAGATACGAAGTTAACGTACAATTAAAAAAATTAATTGTGGTGTTTTATTCTTGGAAATTTGGAATTTTATTTAGTTTTCATTTTTTTACTTGTATTGCTTGAATTCAAAAAGATTTTTAGGTATTATTTTTTTACATCAAAAGATAAGCAAAAATTAATCTAGTTTTTTTTAATATGCAGAAACAAATATATGATACAAAGTTTATATATGATTATGTTTATTTTTAATCTGAGCATGAGGTTTTCACGTTCTGTTCTGTGGTTATTCCAGGTAGTCCAACATTACAAAACAATTTTTTAGTAAATAAGTTAAATTTGTAGGGATTTTTCCTCCATAGATTTTTCCAAAGATAAACGAAACACGAAACGCCATTTGCTTATTCAACGAGAGGCCGAAGACAAATTTGATGAAGCTGAAACTGAAATTAAAGTATAATTTATAAACGTTGTTCTGTTCAGCTAAGCTCTAGGAAATCCTGAAGCATAAACAAGGTAAGATCGGCACGTCCGTGAAGCTTATAGTGCAAATAACAGTTTCTATTTTTTCACTTAAAGATGTGTTTGCATTATGTATACCGTATACAGTTAGTCGAAACGTTCGCAAAGTACCGAATACCTTTAAGTATAGTTCGAAATTAAAGTACGCGAGAGACTTCCAGTAGTTTGTGTTGTGAGTAACGAAGTAGTAACAAGTTAAAAGTCTTAAAAGTTAAGTTTTTGGAAAATAACGTTTTACTCCAAGATGAAGCGAGAATTTTTCTTTTTGATGTGTTTAAATGGTTACAGAGGATTCGGCGGCTCTTCGCAGGTAAGACCAAAAAAGCTACAACGGACTCAACATTGAATAAGATAATACACTACAGTGTTTTTCAGTACTATCAAACTAGTCAAAGTAAACATAAAGGGGTTCTTTTAGTCCTCTCACATATACCAAAATAGCACTTAGGGACAGCTATGTATGTGACGAACCAAATGTAAAATAGGCTTAAATATATAGAGATTTTATCAAAAGATATCAAAAGTAATATTAATTTTTTTAATGTTCTACATGTTATACAGTGTGACCCAGTGTTCTGAAAAATCCCCATTTCTATTAAGCAAATTTTGTGACATTCTTTTCACATGTATTTTACATAATCTTCCTATTCCAAGTGATTTTTGAATTAAAACCATTTTTCGATTTAGGTTTCTTACACATTTAAAGCTCTTTAAAAATTAAAACAATTTCGGCACTTATCCCCTTTTGTATTTCCACTCTTCAGTTTAAGAGTAATAGTATATTTGAATCACCCTGTATATCTATTGACAGATTTTTGAAAGATTGGATTGAAAATCTCCAATAGAAAACCTGATTAAAACATTTTCTGATCTCTAGGTCACCCTGTATAGTATAGTATATATAAGTTTTTTTTTGTTATTGATTGTACTTACTTAAAATTATTGATCTCTATATATCAACCAAATTAAGTAATTTGTTTGTTTCAATTTTACTTTGACTTAATAATTTATTGATAAATATTTTTATAGGTAAATTATGGTAAAGGTAATGAAATATATATATATAATATAATTTTAATATCTTTTCTGGAATTATTTGAACGTTTGTTTAATTTATTATTAGGTACCTACTCTGTTTCCTTCTTAAATCTTATAACAGTTTTAAAACCAGCAATGAAATTTTGTTTATTTATATTTACTTTTTAGTGTTATTTAGCATTTAGTTTTTAATTGTACATTTTTTAATGCTTTTTTTATACATGTAGGTAATCATTACATTTTTTCATGATATTTTGATTGTTGTTTTCAGTTTGCATTATGCCCGTGGTGGAATCTGAGGATTCTCGAAGTATTTCTTCTGATAATGAAAGCGATGATGGTGGTAGCAGTCCCACAAATAGACAAGATACAGGTAGAAGTAGACCAGATAGTCCCACTAGTGAACTGCGAAGTCCTGATACACCAAGGTACTTGAATTAACAATATTTAACAAAATTATGCCTTACTATTTTTTATGTTGGCAGATCTAGATCCAGAAGTCGAGATTCTAATGCCAGTCGATCTAGATCTCATAGTCCATTGAGTAGATCACAATCACCGGAAGGAGTGAATCAGAATAATGGTCCTAGAAGTCCAACGAGTCCTACATCAGTTAGTGGCCACTCCAATAGAAGCAGGTATGCTTTTATTTCTTTATTCCCATAGGAAAATTATTTACATTTTTATTTAATGCTCACACCAAATACAATATTTCAAATCTATCAAACAACCCTTTTTTTTGAATATTTTTATACCTGTAATTTAAGGAAATATATTTTAAAATATAAATATAGCCTGTAATTTTTGGTAATTTTGATACTTTGGTCACAGAATATCTTAGCTATACAAAAACAACAGTAAATTTTTACAATAGTCATTAATAGAAAACAGCGTTTTTAAACATGCTTTGCTAATTCTAAAAAGGTTTTTTTTTACTTTTCATAAAATGTTTCTAGGAAAATCAATAAAAGTTACTAGTGTGCACATCATCAAAATATTTAAGAAATACACGTATGTTTAATGCCTACTTGTTTTACTTTGACATTTAACAAGTGTCAAATAAAATTCATAATTTTGTCACCGATTTTCTTCAAAACTGCATGGATTTTAACAGTGTAAGACAGTGATGTTGACAGCTTAATGAAAAATCAATTGTATTAAAAAGAGATAAAAGATGGGTTAATAAATTTCTTTTATGTGGTATTGCCAGATTTTCTATCATAATTTCAAACCGCATAGGTAGGCGTTTATGAAAAATGTTGCATCTAGTGTTGGAACTTAATTTTTCACAATTAGTTACTCATTTTATTATAGCTGTAATAGATTATATTTAGCTTAGATATATTATCTTCATTTCATTAGTATAAATGAAAGTTTTTAAAATAGTTTATTTTTTTCTACAAGCATTTTCCTATAAACATAAAAAACTGGCAACACTGTATGTTGCTTATTATTTTGTCTCTCTGTCTGTCAACTGGTCATTTATAGTTATCTCTGTTGCATGCCTTAAAATAGTCGTACAGACCACGCAGATGAAATGACCAGGGTCGGCACTCCAGGGCACCAATTCTTGACCACTCGTATCTCCAAATATCACTCGCATTTCCGAGAAAGCCATAAAATAATACATACAAAATGCTTATACACGAAGTATGAACGATGTCAAGAATAGTACTGCAGGGCTAGTATAATAATATTTTTTTACACAAACAAATCTTAATTAAATGAAGTTATTAGAAAGTTTTCTGAATAAAACCTGAAGAATATAAAATTTTATAGAAACATATAGACTTTTATTGCCCAATTATTTACTTGATGCGACAGCGTGCTGCCTTTTTTTAACCAGCATATAGAAATTATATGAAAAAGGAATACAGAGTATGGGCGGAAAAAAAACGGCCTATGAAATAAAGGTCGCTGCCATTTTGTCCTTTTATTGCCATTTTGTCTTGCCATTTTGTCGCCCATGTTGTCCTTTTTAGAAAAAAATAAATTACTAAACGAAAATCAATTTACGTTTCGGGAGGGCTTAAGTACTGAAGACGCACTCTGTAGAGTAGAATTAGAATTAGATTAAGTGGGAGGGGGGTTAATCTCTGCGACCTTAGAGATCTATTGTGTCCCCCTTTCTCATCATACTCCATACATAACTCATCATACAGTCCCAGGACTTCCTACGGAGACCCGTGTCCCTCACAGTCGAGGAGCTACGACCCAGGCCGGGTGGACGAAACGGTAGCTTGTGTCGCCTGTTGGGTTTAGAGGTAGGAGGTAGGCTCCAGACCCTTGGAGGAGGTGGTAGCTTGTATGCCACTTGCGGAGGATGGTCTCACGCAAGTGTCAGCCACCTCTTCTGTAGTTCTCTTTGGGTTTGGCCCCTTGGAACTTTCATTGTTACTGTTCCCAGTTTCGCTAGGGGGTTTCCCCACAGCTTCACCGGTGATGTTTTTATTACTATTATTATCAGATCTCATAGTGTTCCTATGAGTCGCTAGGGACAGTCGGTCCACTTCTATGTAGAAATAAGGGGTAAAAAACAATGGGGTGCCCCAAGGTTGAGGCTGTCCGTAGCCCCGCCCGGTATCGTTATATGTCTTGGTGCAATTCCCTGGCCACGACACTACAGTCAAGGACAAGACGATGAGTGAGATGCTTCTTAGACCAAGCCAAGTGCTAGAGGGGATTCTCCCCAGCACCTGACCAGGAGCTTCCCCACTAACGACAAGGTCTTGCATCTCCTAGGGGAAGACTCTGTAGAGTAACTAAGACAATTTTAAAAAACTAGACCAAGGGAAAAAAGTTGTATGTATCTTTCTTGATCTTCAAAAGGCCTTCGACACTGTGGCGCACCAAATCCTACTAAAACGTTTAGACTGCATGGGCATTAGAGGAATATCAAATAACTTAATCAAATCATATTTAGTAAGAAAGCAAAGAACAAAAATCGCAAACGATATTAGCCAAGAAATGGGAGTGGAGTTTGGTGCGCCTCAGGGGACGGTCCTTTCCGCCTTGCTATTTAATGTGTATGTTGATGGCCTGATGTCAGTTTTGACTGAGAATGGAGTGGTGTTCTGTTTTGCTGATGACTCTGGTGTGCTGGTTTGGGGAGACGATTGGGAGAGTGCAAGCAAAGATAATTCTACTACGAATAGATAACCCACGTAAATGGGACGGTTTGGACCGGCCAAAAGACATCAATGCACACGTAAACTTTAATATTTCGTGCGGAAACCCTGGTGAACGAGACGCGGCGTTGCCAATAACTCGTTTTAGAAGAGATCTATTTAGTTAGAACATTGTAAATTTAATTTGGCATTAATCTTTGGACTTTTTTTTTGGAAATATGATACAGGTTAACTTGAAATAAAAATACTAAAACTAAACATATTTTAATAGATAACAAACTCATTTTTACAAAGAAACAAAATAAAAATTTGTGTCGAATCTAAAAATTAGCTAAATCAATTAAATGATTAACCAATCTAAAAATTAGTTAAATCAAACGAAGTTTTAAATGTATTGACATATAGGGGAGAAAAACATTTAAGGACTTTTCATTTTGATATTTATAGTTATGTACAGGGTGTCCCATTTTCATGTGTTTTACAGGGTTTCTCATTTATGAGTATAGAGGTACAAAGATGATATTTTTATTATTTAGTGTTTTATTATTTTTTCATTTGATTTGTCTTGCTATGGGCTTTCTAAAAATATAATTAGGTACTCTATATTAATTTTTATGACAATAACTTTTTTATTTTTGGAGATAGAATATTAATTTATAAAATAAAATATAAGGTTACTAGTCATGTTTATTAGTTACTAGTTATTTATATTTGGTACATGTTATGTTTATTAAGTACATGTTATGTCGTCTTAAGCTGTGAAAAGTTGAGTCTGATACTGGTATAAACAATATATTGTTTTTTAAATGTAACAACCTGTATATTAGAAGTGTATAGCAATTTATAATACCAATTTTTTTCCGATTTCAAAATTGTTCACACATGCCCTTCCTTACTGACATAAAATTTATAAAAATGTGTCAAATAGTAGACATAATTATGTATAAAACTAATATGTCCAACTACATACCTACCGAACTTGAAACAAATTACACATTGGTTTATAATTTTTTCGAACTTCGATAAAACTGTTAAAAGAAAGGGCATGTGTGTTTACTATATAAATTCACTTCAAACATACAGGGTGTCCCATTAAAAAAAGTTTATACCAATAACGGTGACATTTAGCAACTTATTACATTATTGATTATAATAAACAACAAAACTTGACTAAAAACCCTAAAATTTGCTTTTTAGTGAATGTTCTATCCAAAAATAGAAAAGTTATTGCCTGTCAAAAATGGGGGACAAAATAAATTGCTAATACTGTACATTATTCACATAAGACAACAAGTCACCAGTTAGCTATCTAAAAACGAAACTATTCTAAAATTTATGCTAACATAATCAGTAATTTTATTTTACTAAACAATTCACATACAGGGTGACAATTTGAAAACGAACAGTATTTAATATTACCTCTACCGATGATAGCATGAAAATTTGGCGAGAGAAATACGTCAATTTACATATGAAGGGGGACAATTTTTGATGAATTTGTTGTCGTGTTACTTTCAACCTTTTGACCCTCAGGGCGCCTACCCCTAAAATTTTAAATGCCAACTCCTATTTCTTTGACCATTTTTGTGTTCCTTATAAAATCATCAAAAAAATATTGCAGTTTATGTAGAATTCCATAAGAAACACAAAAATGGTAAAAGAAATAGGGGTTGCTATTTAAAATTTTATGGGTAGGTGCCCTGGGGGTCAAGGGGTTGAAAGTAACACGACAACAAATGCTTCAAAAATTGTCCCCCTTGTATATAATATGTAAATTGACTTGTTTCGCCAAATTTTCATACTATCATCGGTAGAGGCAAGATTAAATACTGTTCGTTTTCAAATTATCACCATGTATAAGACAATCTAATTTTTCATAATAAACAAGGTTTGGCGGTAACAGTGTAAATAGTAAAAAGGCAATTTTTGCAACAAGTAACTAAAATCAATTTTCTTGGGATAAATTGTTTTTCATCCCCAGATGAGGCATATCTATCTATTATAAAACAGAACCGTTACAAAAAAGGCCCTAAAATATCTCATTTACGGGCTCAAATGAACTAGTTAAATTCTTATTTCTGTAGGGTAGATATGCTAAAATTCTACTTATTTTTTAAATTTTTTAGTTTTGGTTTGTGATCTTTTTTAACTTCTTCCCATCTGCAAAATTTGAAGATATTAGTGGTAATTAAATGATTTATTAAAAAAAGTTTGTGTGGGTAGCATGTTTCTTCCTTACTACATAACCAAATCGAAATAGCACTTTTCGCTATAATTTTGCTTTTTGTTTTAAGAACCAAATGTTTTTGTTCTTTATATTCATTAAAATATTTCAATATTCGAAAAAATAAACATCTTTTGGACTTTGGAAATTTCTTTGGATGGCACAATTGTCAATTGTTTTTCCTAATTAGGAAAAGTCTGTCTACCCCATAATTTTTTTTCTGTAAAAAGTTTTTTTTCTGTTTCACGGGAAATAACTACAACTTTTGATTTTTAAATAGTACCCTCGGTATTTTCTGCTTTATTCGATAGAAAATGACACTCTATATACATAGAATGACATATCATATATCAACATTTGACATTTTTGTTTAAAAAAATCGTATTTTAAATTTCAATCTAGAGTAAGCCACTTTTGATTAACATCCGGTATATTAAAATACCAAAAATACATTAAAAATAATATTACTAATTTGCAACTATTGAAATAAAATTTAAGGCTTTTGAAATGTTTTAGAATCACCCTGAGATTTTCTTAAGCAAACGTATATTATTAATTAATATATTTCTGGGTATTTCCCCACTAGCACTGTGACAAAGACTATAAAATAAAATAGTTATTTAAAAAAAAGAAAAATAGATTATTTTCCTGTTTATATCATATTTATACTATTATTATTCTTTTTCTGATATTTATTATTTATATTTGGATATAAAATCTAAAGGTATAGATAGTATTTTTAATTAATTAGATTTTTATTTATGTAAAAAAACTTAATTTATATATATACATACATATTTAAACCGGTAATTAGTTCCTTATTAATTTTATATAAACCTCTTTATTAGTTTCCTAATTTTTAAAAAATAGAAAAAATCTAGTACTGAACACGTTTGCAAACTTCTCTTAAAATACAAAGTAATATTTTTCCAAGTTAATAAATAGAAATTATAGATATGTATCACCTTAATGTTTTGCCATATTTTCCCTTACTTCATGTACAAAAAATATGTAGTTTGGGTTGACTTGAAATCGATTAATTTAGAACTGATAGGCTTATCCGAATTTAATATCCAACGTTCGCATATACCTGGATTTTTATATGGAAACCTAAACATTTTTAAATTAGGATTGTCCCTCCTTGATAGTCTGCAATCGTAATATTGACATACATTGCATTGCCCGACATATTTTTAAAACACAAAAACTTAAATCAAAATATAATAATTGAAAATAATGAAGCAAAATCTACAATTGAAAATATAAAAAATAAGCACACCACGAAGCCTTCAAAACGAGGTGCGGGGGAAACGGAAGGCTTTGATAATCGCCGTCACGTCGGGCCGCCGCGTGTACCGGTAGCATTTGGCGTACGATTTGGCAACATAGACAAGCAAGTAATCGCTTTTTAACGTTGCTGCGCCTCGATGGATCCCGGCTCAAAAAGCCGGGCTCCTTTTTGGTTCCAAAAAATTTACACGGGATGGGTTTTCTATTGTCTTAACTATAATATTCTTTGGTGCAAGGGATCGGGCAGAGAAAGCAATACAAAAAATCAAACGATGGTTAGACAATAGCCTGCTATCCGTAAATGTCAACAAAACAAAATTTGTCACTTTTGCACTCTCCCCACGCTCTCTGCCAGAATTCCGGAACCTAAAAATTCATAACCATGACTGTGATCTAAACCTAAATTGTGTATGCAATAAATTGATTGAAAGAGTGACATATATAAAATACTTAGGTGTTCTTGTGGATCAAAACTTTACTTGGAAAGAACATATACTACCTATGTAACAAACAAAATAAGGAAAGTAATAGATAAATTTTATAAGTTGAGCCATGTCTTCGGCTTCAGCACTTTAAAGATGGTGTATTATGCACTGGTGGAATCAACTTTGAACTATGGGTTGGTGATTTGGGGTAGTGCCGGAGTGACAATTTTAAACAAACTACAAGTTGCATAAAAATATATTATAAAACTTATGTTATTTAAAAATAAGAGGTTCTCTACTGAATTGTTTTTGAAAGAGAGTCAATTATTAGATATTAGACAGTTACACCTTAAAGCAGTAATTAGATTCATGAAAAAAATTTCCTATTTCCTATTTCCTAAAGAATCCATAAGCCATGGTCGTAACACAAGAAATGCAGCTCAAAACAACGTCACACGTCAAAACCCCAAGCATACCATTTGCCAGAATCATATTATTGTCTTGGTCCAAAAGTTTTTAACTGCCTCCCAAACAATATTAAAGTAAAACCATACTCTAAGTGCAAAAAAGAGATAAGGCAATGGACACTTCAGAGCAATTATGGTTAATTATGTAGTCTAATTTGAAATATTATATCACACAATTACTATCTCCTATCAAATTAATGTTACCACATTTCTACTAATTATTGTACTAAAATTGTTATACTTAGATGGAATTATTAGAATATATTTTTTTGTTACTTTTTAAAAAAAAATGGTAAAACCTCTGTGATACATGGATAAGAAAAAGAGTGCACACACAGTACTTTAAGTACCATCGTGCACTAAAGTAGAAGTTTTTATTTAATTTACCTATCATTTAGTGAGTGATTTTAGGAATTAGTTAAGTAATAGAGGGACATATTTTCTGTGTTCCTATAGAATTAATTATATTCTGTTCAATATAAATGTAAACTACTACTACATAAAAAAATAAATAAAATTTTATATGTAAAATTATATGGGGAATGTTATCGATCGTCATTTCCAAGCGAACTAGACGCCCATTTTTTTCGATCATGCGGTAGTACGCTCTTTGTTAAATTTCAAACGAATTTTTATTTATTTTAAGAAATTTAGTTTGGTAATACGTCTTTTTATTCCTTTATATAAATACAAAAGCCGACGTCATTATAATTATAAGCTAAAAATATGACAAATAAATTCATTAAAATTTGTCTACGAAAAAATTGTCTTTGTATCTTTTGCATGGTTAGGCAAATAATTCCAAATTACCCAATTAATTAAATTAATAGAAAATTTAAAATATTACCTAGGGACTTAAGAGTTAGGTAATTCTGTGCCAATAAGCTAAGGTAGCATGGACTCTGAACGACAAAACTATATTGGCCTCTAAATATTTGATAATTTTTTCCTAAAATGTTTGTTAACTAGATCCAACTCTGCATCTTCTGACGAGGAATCAAATGCTAAACAACTGAACCATCAGAGTGGGCCACAATCGCCCAAATCTAATGCATCGTATCATAGCGAGTCTCGTCCACAGTCGCGTGGTTCACAAAGTTCAATCGCATCTCGGAAAGTTGTTGAAAAATCACCAGTTAGTTCAAGAGATAATTCTCCAGGTAATTATGCTAGTAATTAAATTTTTCATATTATGTACAAGGTGTTTCAAAAAGCTTATCAGGTTTTCTATTTGACATATTTACTCCCTTTTTTTATACTCTGAGTAAATTATAAGTTAAAGTCTTCTTTTTGCTGTTAGAGCTAATCTGGACGAGGCCTACTTTGTTTACGCGGAATCCGAACCGCGGTCCTCGGCCATATAATCATGGTCCATGGCCTACCGACTTAGCGAGTGTCTAAATCGACTCTTACTCACGAGATATCCGATCACATCCGGCTTTAAACGGGCGTGAATGAGCAGTGTGTGTCAATAAATTTTTATATTCTTGCCATGGAACAACAGCACGATAGATTTTTTATACTCATGGTTCAAAGTGGCGTTCAAAACGTCTCTTTATTGCTGCTAAGGATAATTTGGACGGGGCCTACTTTGTTTACGCGGAATCCGAATTGCGGTCCTCGGCCATATCAAGATGGGTATTCAGTAGTATTCATTATCTGAACAAACGAAAGGGTACGAACATAGTGGAGGCAGGTTTCTGCTTTCCGGCAACCAGCGCCGTCTCTGGGTACCTATTCTTGACCATTCGCATCTTCAAATATCGCTCGCCTCTCGCATCTCCTAAAAAGCCATATAACAATACACAGATGCGTAACTTTGCGTATATAAATCACGTGTATTGTATATGGCTATTTCCGAGATGCGAGAAGGGTTCGGAAGTAGATAATTAAGAGGAAATTTACTTGATTAACTAACCTAACCTAACCTAACCATATTCAAACGCCGCGCCGCACATAGGGGTATTTGGTCTATACACCTCGCCAAAAGTGATATTTTTTTATTTTCATTTTTTATCTTAACTGAATACAAATCTATAAATACTAAATGTAAGCACGTTTATTAGCTTTTTTTTAAGTCGTAAGTTGACTATGAAATAAATAATATATTTCAATTATAAGTATGAATTATCTTGAGTGTATTCTGAATATTTCTAAGATTATAAAATAGTGGAATTGTTTGTAGTGCTTTTTTTGCAAATTGTTTATAATAACTGTCATGATGGATACAGAGCCAGCTGGCAAGTCCTGTTTTATGCCATATTTTTATTTTGAAACGTTTCCTTCTATTCTATTTCTTTATAATGTTTATATTTAAAAAATCAGAGGCATTTTTATAAGATGTAAGACTATTCGGCAATATTCCGCATGGAAATTAGTATCCGTTCAATGCTTAAAGTCTCCAGCTTTGGAATATGTACAAAAATCTTGCCAATATTTGCCACTGCCAAAAAAAACATTGATTTAAATAGATTCTTAAAGGAAATAGTCTTTACCCTATAACACCCATCCTCGCTCAAATATCGTCTATAATATACAAATTACTTTCTTGTTCTAGCACCCTCATCCAATTGCGCAGAATGGCCCTATTTGATCGGTGGAAAGGGTTTCAGAGTAGAGGAAAAAATATTGTGTAGAAAAAAACAAAATGGGGTTCCATATTAGCACGCTCTCCTCTAATAATTAATATTACTAGCAAAAAAGCAAAAAAATCATAAAACATAATTTTGGCCAACTTTTAGTTCTTAATACCCTCTGTGCGCCGTCGGCGCCTGCAAAAGCAGAAATAAAATAAATTTTCGTTCCGGTAAAAGCGAGAACGCCGATGAACGCTGGTTGACGGCGCCTCCTGCTTTCACTGTGAACTAGCCGATTTGATAACACCGTTTAATTTTTCAAGGTTATAAGCGCGAGGCGGCGCGGCGCTACTATGTCATATACAGGGTGTCCCAGAAATACGTGCAAGTATTTTAACTTAACTGGTAGTATAGTTCAACCCCAGAAACACGCCTATGAGGTTTTTTTCTAAATATTTTTTTTTGAAAATTCGGAATTTTTCGAAAATATTTTTGGAATTTTTTTGCAATTTTTTTTAGTTTTTATTTAAAAAAAAATAATTTCTTGATAATATGGCAACATAGGTAGTAGATTAAATTTACAAGAAAGAAAATCGAGAATAGATCCAGTGGTTCTCAAACAAATCTCGAAGTATTGGAAAGAATGTGTAAGGACCAAGAACTATTGACTACAATAAAACGACGGAAAGCAGCATATTTTGGTCATATTTTTCGAAATAACAAATATAGTTTCCTACAGCTGATCGTTGAGGGAAAGATTGAAGGACGACGAGGCATCGGACGTAAACGGTTTTCCTGGTTGTGGAATTTGCGCCACTGGTTTAATATAGGAGAAGCCAGTGCAATTATCCGTTTGGCTGAAGACAGGGAGGAATTCCAATTGATGGTCGCCAACCTCCGATGAGGAGAAGGCACATGAAGAAGAAGGTTCTCAAAATTTTAGCAAAAAATCATTTTTTTTTTGGAAATTTTCAAAGTAAAATAACTTCGTTATTTTGGACTTATTTGAAAAACGATAAAGAGAAAATATGTTTCTTTTATCGAGATCTACCACCGTTTAAAATACTTGCACTTATTTCTGGGATACCCTGTTTATAACAATACACGTGATGCGTATACGCAAAGTTGCGAACGATGTCAAGAATAGGTACCCAGATTGGCGCTGACTAAGAGTAAGCGGCAAACCTGCTTGCACTGTCTTCGCACACAAAGAATAATTTCAAGAACAAGACCTAACCCATTAGCGAAGGCCTTTGATGTTTTTCCTTCGTTGAAAACTTTTGGTTCAATATCAATTTCACGCGCAAATTTAATTATAGGACCATACCTGATGGGGAAAAAAAACATCGATTTTGAATATAATATAATTATTAAAACGTAAAGTTGGATTAAGAGTACATTTATCTATACTAATATATAAAATCCTTAAGTGACTGACATACTGATTAAACACGATCCTGCTCAAACCACTCAACGTAAGAAGCTCAATTTTGGCATACAGGTTCGATAAGAAGGGATTTTTCGAAATTCCAGTTCCAAGAGGGTGAAACCACCCCTCAAATATTACAATATATTTAAAAAACGGTCAAGTTTCCGAAAAAACGCTTAAACACGTATATTTTATTTTGTTTTTTACATATTTTAAAATTTTTTAAAAATGTATACAGGGTGTTTCGAAAAATCTGGCCATTGATTAATCACGATCCTGCTTAAAGCGCTTGACGTAAAAAGCTGATTTTTGGAAAACAGATTGACTTTAGGGTGTAGAGGTTCGATAAGAAGGGATTTTTCGAAACTCGAATTGTAAGGGGGTGAAACTATCCCTCAAATATTAAGATATTTTTTATTTACCGCTGAGTTTTTCGAAAAAACTCTTAAACGCGTATATTTTATTTTGTTGTTTTACATATTTCAAGATTTTTTATAAATTTATATAGGGTGTTTCAAAAAATATGACCATTGAGTAATCACGATTCTGCTTAAACTGCTTGACGTTTAAAGCCGATTTTTGGCAAACGGATTGACTGTGGGGTGTAGAGGTTCGATAATGAGGGATTTCTCGAATCTCAAATTCCAAGAGGGTGAAAAAATCAATCCCTCAATATTCCTCAAATATTACAATATTTGTTATTTAAAAAACGGTTATTCTTTCGGGAAAACGCTTGGACAAGCATAATTTATTTGTTTTTTTACATATTTTGAAATTTTTTAAAAATCATACAGGTGTTCCAAAAAGTTGGGTAATTTCTTAACCACGATTCTGCTTAAACTGCTTTCCGTAAAAAGCTTATTTTTGGCAAACGGATTTTTCGAAAGTCAAATTCCAACGAGATGAAACTACCCCTCAAATATTACCAAGTTATATAATAATATCGCCATATTGTTTTTTTCTCATGCTGACATAAATGTGAGAAAATTTTATCCAGTTTGTATGTTAATGGAAATTCTTGCTTTGTTTTATCATCACCATTACAAATGATTAATTCGACGCGAACGAAGTCGCGGGTACACGCTAGTTTATAGTATAAAATACAGAAATGTTTCGTTTGATGTAGTGGAGAAAAATACAATATCTGTAGTTTCGACTCGCCCTGTATATACCGTACAATATCGCGTATTTTTGAAGAGAAAAATCCACTTGGCAGTAAAAGTATACAGCGTTTAGAAAAAATGCAATTTTATTTTGAATCGCATTGTATATCTATGAAAATATTTTTAAAATGTGAAAAATAGTAAATCTGATGTAGAGCTTCTTGAAAGCAATGGGTTACTCTGTATAACATATATTTTCAATTTTAATAAAGATGTAGCATCCAAAGAAGTAGTTCAACAAATGCAAAGTCCGAAGAGTCCAAAAAGTGAAGCTGGTGCACAGGTAATTTTACAAAATTTTACGTATACATATAAGAATGTTTCTCTGTAATCTTGATAGTCTGGCTTATAAACATGCTTTTCTATTGTAAACTCAGAGATAAATAATTTTCGTTTGAAAAAGAATCTTAAGTTTTTAGGAGCGACCTTTTGAAGTTGTAAAGGTTATGCCATCTTTTTTAAGAGACATTACTACAGTTTTGTTCGTATACATACATATATTGGTTTCAATTAGCGTAGAAGTTTGTTTCTTTAATTTCAATGTAACCATTCAGAACATCAAAATTGGTGGTAGGAATTTTCAGTTAGTGGAAAAAGTTAACGAACTTTTATCATTTCCACTAATTATACTTCAAAATGTGCGAGGAATGTCATTTTGGTCGTCAGTCAATTAGCATTTTCATCCGTCAAGAGAAAATGTGGTTAAAAATCATTAGAGGTGGGCTAGTCTGCGTTTTTTCTGGAGCTACGATCCTCCGCGAGTGCTCTAGTAAAAAGCGATTTTTCATCGAATTATCATCGCTTCTTGTCCTTTATTTTTTATTTATTTCAACTATAGGAGTATGTTTCAGATATTAGGAGCTTAAGCTTCAGTCAGAACCTGGCAATTAGTGGAATAGATTAGTGATTTCAATTACACTTTATGCTTTTTAGTTTACGATCATTCACAATGTCTAAATAAAACAAAAACACAATTCAAATTAATAGATTATCCTAGCAACAGCTTGAGATAGTCAGTTGTATCCATAGAGAAAGCCCAACATTTAGCTTATTGATGATAATAAATAAAACATTTCTCTTGACGGATGATAATAAAAAGCCAAAATGACATTTTTCGCAAATTTTGAAGTATAATTAGTGGAAAAGTTCAAACTTTTTCTATAGCTTCATTCAGAACCTCGCAATTAGTGGATTAAATTAGGGGTTTCAATAATTAATGTAGAAATTTATTCCTTTAATATCAATGTAAGCACTCAGAACATCGAAATTAGCGGTAAACATTTTTTTAGTAGAGAAAGGTATCAAACTTTTAACTTTTCCACTAATTGTACTTCAAAATTTGCGAGAAATGTCATTTTGGCCTCTGATTATTTTCCGTCAAGAGAAATTGTGGTTAGAAATAAAAAGTTGATTGTTTTTAAGCTAAATATTAGGCTTTCTCTATAGATACAACTGACTAACGCAAGCTGTTGCTAGGAAATTCTATTAATTGTAATTGCGTTTTTTAAATATTGTGAATGATAGTAAACTAAAAAGTATAAAGTTTAATTGAAACCAGTAATTTATTCCACTAATTGCGAGGTTCTGAATGAAGCTTATTAATTGAAAATTACTACCAATATTTTGATGTTCTGAATGCTTACATTGATATTAGAGGAACAAACTTCTACGCTAATTGAAACCACTAATTTATTCCACTAATTGCGAGGTCCTGAATGGAGCTTTAAAGTTAAAAAAAAACTGAGTCTAAGACATTGATATATTTATATATAGTTTGCTAAAGAAATCATAAAAAAAGTGTTAAAAAATTTAACACTTTAAATTTGACGGAAAATTTTTCACTTGCGTTTTTTTATATCTTATATCTGAGTGTATTTTATCATGTTAGTAAGCATAACATAATTTTTTTTTTCAAAATAAGGTCTATGTTGAAATTGTGGTGAATAAAATATTTGAAAAGCGCCAAATCAGAAAAATGTACAGGGTGGTCCAAATTAATTGTAAAAATTAATGTGTCCTAAATTGCTTCGTTTAGTAGATACAGAGTGTAGAAGTTTGTTACACCAATACACCAAAAACTTGTGCACTGGATGCGCGTTTCGCTAACCGTATTAACATCATCAGCAGATAGTTAAAACTAAATTAACATTTATAAATTGAGCGTTTATATAGGCGCTGACCAAACGTGGTAAAACTAGCTAAACGAGTCAAAACCAACCAAGCGCGACAATTACCGAGACTAAAGCAATAGGAACAGAGAACTGGAAAGAATTGGACCATTATCTCTGTTCATATTATCTTCACATTTATTAATTTTGACTCTCATATGCATCTAATTGCCTGTCATTTCAGACTTATTTAATTAATTTTAAATTATTAATATCTATACAATGATTTAATCAACAATATGTTGAGCAAGGCAAGGGTCATCCGGTCTACCATATTTTATCTGAGCCATATGTTCTTTAAATCTAGTTAATAATGATTTTCTAGTTTGACCAACATATTTCTGATTACAATCATTTGATTACATAAAAGTACATAAATACGTAAAGTATTTTGGTGTATTGTAGTGAATTAGTGTTTTATTTTGCTAATAACTGTCTAGTTGACATGTTTATATTTTGTCAATGATGACTTATTAATTATTTCGATTCCAAGAGACCCTTTTTAGCCGACCATACCAACAGGTATGGTAGGCTATTAAGATCGACAAAAAAAAAGTTTTTTTAATTTCACTCAAAATGAGTTATTTGGGTCATAAATGACCTAAATACAAAATATTTTCATGGTGCCTGTCTCTCGTCTGTCCGTCTGTCAGTAACACGATAACTCAAAAACCGCTAAACCGATTTTAACCAAATTTGGCACAAAAATACTGTGGCACCCGAGAATCTGGCCATTAGTTTTTGGTGGGGGCGGAGGGTTGGTAAGGGGGTATGGGAGGGGGTTAAAAATTTAAAAAAATCGTAACTCTAAAATTACAGTAGCTAGCGAAACGCGGTTTTCAATTTAAGATTAGGAATAATATTTGCAACAACATTTGTAATAACATTAAAATCAGTCAAAGTCGCAGTTTTTAAGATAAAAAAAAAATTGGAAAAATTCCTTTACTTTGAAACTAAAAGAACTGCCTACCAACTTTTTATTAACATACTTTAGTATGGGCGGCTATACGTGCCTCCCGGCGCCAATTTTTACATTAAAAATCGGAAATGTATATCTTTTCTCTCAGTAGTGTAGGAGTTAAACTAATAATAAGTAGTAGTTAAACTAACATCTAAATTGAATTTCTCATGCAAAAAATACCCAGACACTAATGTTCATCCAAATATTGTATGAACCAAGCAAATAAAAATGAGAGTTCTACACCCTGTATGGAGATACAAAATGTATAGGAGGAAACAAAGCATTTTTGGACATAAATTTATACGAACTTTTTTACATATTTTTATCTAGAGAATATATTGCCGAAGTTTCCGAATACAATTCAGACCACCCTGTATATGAAGAACCACATTATTTTTTAAAATTGAATATATTTTTAATTGTTTATTTACATTATTATATCGTTAGGCCTCTGATAGTGAAGATAATCGTTCAGTAAAATCAGTGAGTTCAAAGAGTTCGCGTAGTAGCGTTGGATCGAAAAAATCAAGAAGGTCAAGTCGTTCGAGTTCCGGAGGTTCAAGAAGATCAAGGAGAAGATCCGGAAGTAGCAGCGATTCTGATTCGAGCGCCAGTAGCGTAGATTCGTCTTCGAGGAAAAATAAAGATATTAGAAATACCAACACGCAACCTGAAGATGTTTCAGACGGTTCGTTGCTAATACTATTTGAAGAGTCCAGGGGAAAAACATGATAAACGCCATTTTGCTGATTTTACAGGAGAGCACTGGACGGCTGGTAGTTATCAGGTTCTTGCCGTGTATTCTGTATTTTTACTAGGCATAAGATTTAACAACTTATTGCTCTGCAGAGTTTATACATTTTGTATGGACCAGTTAGATCTATAATATTGCAAAATCCTAAAATTGAGAAACTGGCGCTTATCAAGTTTTTTCCCTGGGGCCTTCATTTATTTTAAAATCTACTCTAAAAGATATTCTCAGCCTGAGGTCACGTTAGTGGGTAGCGCCTAAAAACTTTTCTACACGAAGCTAATAAAATTCTATAATCGATTATTGAATTGAGTTGTTTTTGTCACTATTAAAATCATACATTTAATTCTATGATTTATAAAATATCAACCTTTGAATAAAAAGATAAAAGGAGGGGCATATCAACAAATATGGGTGAAGCGCCTATATTTGTAAAATATTTCATGTAATAATTTTACATTACTCCAATGTAAAAATATTACATTACTCTTTTACAGACCAATTTTAATAAATTTGGTCTAATTTGAAAGTGCTTAATTCTCATAATTTGTATTACTTTTTGTCTCCATTATTGATAGCGATATCTGAATATTGCCATAAATAGGTACCTGTATTTACCATACAATTTGCCAAAAAAATGAGGTAAATTTAATTGTGTCACGTGAAACGTCAAACAGATCGAAAGATTAGAGAGACCGATAGATAAAGGAAATAAATTTAAATTGGAATGCTCGTTTTCCCGCTAAAACGTATAATTGTTTTGGGTCGCATACGTTGTATGCGATCTGGCTATAGCGGTTGCTAATGGTACGTATACATTGGTGGCTGCGCCGCGAACGCGCAGCGCGTGCGCCTAGCGTTGGTCGCGCGTTACTTTCATTGTTTTAACGAACATCCCGCGATCCATAGAAATCCCGCGAACATTAGTTTAGTCGTTAATCATGTCTCTATCGTCCGAGAAGAACTACGCAATTTTAATCATGAGTAGTTAGTTTGGTTTGGTTTGTGTTTAAAGAGTCGCAGTCTTTAAACACTCCATTAATAAACAATATTCAAGCAAAACAAAAAAAAGTGAATTTATTCAAAGAAAACACACATAGTCACTGATAAATGCGCGCGGTGTCTTCACCGGCCGTCCCAATTGAACAACGAACATAGAAAGCAGAGCGTCGAAAAACCGACTGGAGATGGTTCGCGGCGAGCTGTTTGAGCGCGCGCAAATTGAAAACACGTACTAATAGAGGCGAATTGGTGGGTTAGGTTGTGCCGCGCGTTCGCGGAGCTGCGCGCCTATGTATACGTACCATAGATCAACCGCAAACAAGAACAGAAAGAGTTTTCTCTTGTCAAAGTCAGAATCTTCAAAAATTATAAAATCTTTCAAAATTTAAACCGCCGCGCCGGCATCGAAAAAATACCGAAAAGTATTTAAAGCGTCCATTTTCAAAGTAATTATTGCTATCTTGTAAGTTTAATTTAGTTAAATTTTATTTACTTAAATCTCTGATAATTGTGAAAAAGTGGCATTTAAAAAACTTAAAAAGCTGTGTGAACTGTGAACTGCCAAAACCATCGTGGCATAACGTCAGTTTCCGTTCCATAGGTATTTCATACATGTTTACATTTCATATGCAAAACCCTGTGTTTTATTTATAAAATTAAAATAAGATAATGGCGAATAACGGAAGCCAACCGAAGAAAACTGGAAGCGGTAGAAATGGATGCCTATAGAAGAACCTTAGGAATTTCCCGAAGAGATAGAGTGCGAAACGAAGAAATCCGACAGAGAATAGGAATAGACCATAGACTTAAAATAAAATATAGACTGAGCATCTCATTCATAAATAGCTGGAACATGCGGTCAGACACTGTCTTGTTATTGTTGTGTTATTGTTTTAGGTTATAACGAGTGCGACACGAGCGATAGATAGGTTGTCTCTGTCGTAACGGTCGTTCCCTGACGACTCTGCCGAGAAACACAACACTGTCTTTCGTTTCTCAAGTACACCTGAACTCTCCGTATCATAGCCGGGTAATTTTTTATTTTAATGAAGCTATAATTAAATTAAAAATATATCGTATTTAAACTTTTTATATTTTATTAAGATTTAGGACAGGTTTTTAAATAAAAGTTTAGAAAAAACAATTTAGAGTCCAAAAGGATAAAAATAATAAAATACACGTTATAGAAGAAATTTTATAATCGAAATTAGGTAATTTTTGAAATTAATAATAAATTATTAATTTTAGTCAAACATTACAACCCTAATATTAATCAAAACAGGATCTATTCCACAGATATAATAGAATCGGCGACAGGGAGAGAAAAAAAAAATATGATTGTTGTAATTTTTTTTTTCTGGTTAAGTGATGTCTTATTATGTAAATTAGAGAAAACATAAATCTGTTCCATTAAAGCAAGGAAGGTGATAGGAAGTGGATAAAATAAAAACTACATTTATTTAACTCGGTACTGTCTTTATTATACCGGGTGCGTCTCAAAAGTGGCTCATCCCCCATAATTTTTTTATATTTTCAAATAAAAAAACAAGATTTAGTATGTTAGTATTTTCGCATATGGTTTAATTGTAATTGTAACACGCGGTTCATAACGACAATTTGACTCGAAATACCAAGTGTGTGGTATCAATATATTCATAAAAAAATGCTTTTTCCAAATATGCTAATGAGTCACCCTTGTTCCATTTGAAAAAATTGACATATGTATGATTAAAAATACGATTTGTACATCTTTTAACCGGCCTAGACAAGACACGAAACCTATTAGACGATCAAAACTATTTTCCAAGGCTCCTTGATTAAAACTTAGTGGATTGAAAAAACTGGATTGAAATTTAAAATAGGATATGTTTTTAAGCGACAATGTCAAAAGTTGACATATGATATGTCATTCTATTCAGAGTGTCATTTTTTATCGAATAAAGTAGCAATATACCGAGGGTGCCTTTAAAAATAAAAAGATGTAATCATTTCGGTAAAACAGGAAGAGACCAAAAACAATTGGATACGTCAATAAATCCTAATTTATGTCATATACCTACTAACATACAAATCTGTTTTTTTATCTGAAAAAATAAAAAAAGTTATAGGGTTGAGCCACTTTTGAGACGACCCGGTTTCATAATGTAATATCATTTTAAAATTCTTGTATGTTATTTTAGATTCTGAAGATAATTTTAGAATAAACCGGAATATATTTTTAATAAAAACATTATTAATTATTAACAGGGTTATAATTATGATTTTGTTACAATGTAAGTAAGTAAATAATGTAATGTAAAAGAAAAAATTCAGATTTTACATTTTACTAAAATATTATCTAAATAAGCGCCTTTCTACAACAACGCCACTGACTGCCAATGGGTAGAATTGAGAGTTGCCTACCGGTCAAAAGTCGTTTCAAGACTTAAATGGATTATTTAAGTCAAATTTCTTTTAAAATTTGGCACTGGCGAACCATATTTTATAGTTTTTGAACAGAAAAAGTCAATAAAATAAACACTTAAGGACTACAAGCTAAGAAAATGCGTTAATACAGCCGGGGAGATAGCGGCAACAAAGCTTTACCGCACACGTGCGACACGTACTACAAGGTAATAAATGAATTTAAATGAGGCTCCCTCGCCTCTAATCGGTGTTGTCATATTGTAAAGAACTTATCCTTATTAAACAGTATCCGACTTATAATTTAGTAGTATAAGGACTATTTAATACATCTATGGAATATTAAAACCTACTTTATTAAACTGTAGTATTAATATCTCAATATATGTGTATAACAAGAAAAAAAATATTGATAATATTAAAGACGTGACAACATGGGCTGGATGAGGAAGGCTCGGTCGACTGTACCCAGAAGTAAACATGTGTACAAAAAAGGTTGTTTGTCCGCGTTGAGATGTAAATAGTTTAGTCTATATTTTATTTTAAGTCTATGGAATAGACGGATCTTTGGCAACCGACATCGAACGCCAACAACTTGTGTGGTACGGACATGTTCAGAGGATGGATGACACCCGACTTCCAAAACAAATTATGCAATGGACACCCCAACACCGAAGAAAACATGGAAGACCTAAGAAGACTTGGAAGGAGGGTGTCACAAGAGCAATGAGTGCCAGAAATCTAAACGAGGGACAATGGAACGATCGGAAGACGTGGAAGTTAGGCATCGGACAACGTCGCAAGACGTTCTAGACCGATATAAATAAGATAATAATAAATTTTAATAAATAATATATTTGGGGACATATTTCCGGAAAAAGCCGGACCTCTCCGAAATTATCAAAAGCTTTGAGTCGCGACCGTTGCAAGAATAGCGCCAAATAGTATTTACATTGTCCTTATGGACACTTTCCAATCTAAACTTGTTTTATTTATCTATGGTCGATTTCCTCTCTAATGCAATTCCTCTCTAAATTATTAAATACATGAATAGTATTATACCACTTCCTTAATCTTTTTATTCAAAGATCAATAATGGATAAAACCACGAACTGCTTAAAACTACTAAAGCATTTTGAAAATTGACTTATTTTTACCGAACTATAGAGAAACCTCTTTAACAGCACTGTTCAATTCACATTAATACCTGAGGACTGATATTTGGCTACAGAAAATGGAAGAAATAAAATTGTTTCTAGTCTTTTACCCGCATTTACAGTGTTTGGAAATGTTGTTAAGCTCCACCCTTTGACTTAACGTAATGACTTATCTGTTATCAAAAATTTAGGCGATATGGAGTCAGACCATGAGAAGGACTGCAATAAAAAGTCCAAACCCGACCTCAACATTTCCCACGAAGATCTCTCAGACGTATCGGACTTGGAAGATTCCATGGGTGCCCATTCCGAAGAAGATAACGATATCAAACCTCAGTCTCGCAATAGCAAAGATGAAGGTAGGTTGTTACAGAACGGAGATGGAGATAAAAAAGATAGTTTCGAAAAATCTATGATGGAGAAGGTGCACAACAGTTCTCGAACTGAAGATGTCGAGGAACAATTGGATTTCGAAGCGGAGGATGGCGAGTGTGGCGAGATTGAAACCAAAGACGATGACAAAAGTAAAGATGAAAAGGAAGAAGGTGAGGAAGAGGATGGGAAAGATGAAGAAGATGACGGGGGTAAAGCGCAGAAAGAAGAAAAGGAACTGGAAGAGGGAGAGGTATGGGATTGAGCGAAAACTTAAGGCGGAAAGAGTCTATAAAATTAGTTTTTTATTGTTTTTTAAAGGTTACAGATGAAGATGACATGCGTCCGGAAGAAACAGAACCCAGGCCAGTATGCAGATTTTTTTCGAGAGGCGCCTGTACTTGGGGAGCGAGCTGCAGGTTTTTACATCCGGGAGTTACTGACAAAGGTACGTATACAGGCTGTTTCAAAAGCTTTGCAATAAAATCGAAAAAAAAATACTATTGAATTTTAAAAAATATGGTTATTTTTATTTTTTTTTAAATTGGACGAACTTCTACTGTTCTTAATGAACGGATTAATAGACATATTAGGATTCTAGATTAGGTAAAAGTAGTTGTGCATTATCAGAACATGTGATTGACACACAACACAATATTGATTTTAAAAATGCGAAAATTTTGGATACTAAATTTAATACTAACAAAAAACTTTTTCTTGAAATGGTAGAAATTTACATTAATGACAATTGTATGAACAAAAGAAAAGAATTTTAGAACTTAGTTAAGTTAAAAATATATTTCTTACTATTTTTTATTAAAAATAAAAACAATATTTAAAATTTACCGTTTTCGTTATTATTGTTATTTGTAACTTGTGATTAACCTTATATATTTTTAACATGTAATTTATTAATAAGTTATAGTTTGTTCATTCTCAATTTATTAATAATTTATTTTTTACTTATCTGTCAAAAAAAATTAGAAAGGTCTATAATTGTGAATGTTTAGGAAGTTTTTTAATATTTTTTAAATTCTTAATGCCTTTCTTCGATATGGAATGTGATGTATTTGTCTATTTTTCAAATTAAACTATTTACACGTAAGTTTATATAATATTATGTTATATTCAGTTGATTATTCTAATTTGTAACCTTGAAAAAGGAAATAAAATTTCCGAAAGCTTGGCGTATGTAAAACATACAATAATTTTTGCTTTCAGACCGCTAACCCCAAGAATTTTCTTCCAAGTTTTTTGTTACAATTGTTTGGTCAAGACTTCCTCTCAGTATAACTTATCGTATATTTAATAGTAATTATTTATTAAATAAGAGTTTAAGAATAATATTAGAATATTAGTAAGAATATGTCAAATTTCAGGTAACTATACAATGTTTGATATGGTAAGACCAATTCTACCTGGAGAATACGCCATGGGCCGAATGGTAGACGACAGAATGTATGGAAAAGTCGAGCAGCCGATGGTCGAATCGGCTTGGGAACGAGGTTTGAGGACAGCCAAAGAGATGTTGAAAAAGTCTATAAGAAGAAAGGAACAGGATATCGATTTTGAAGAGAAGAAAATGAATCTTAGCATCGCTCAAGAGGAATTCGACAAGGAGAATGGGTATTATGGAAGGATACCATCGCCAGAGCCAAGGTAATAACGAAGACTTTAATTTTATAATGTTCAAACATAATTAAATCAAGATACACATTAAGTTAAAAGTGTGAAAAATGTTTGTAAAACATTTCATTTTGTTTTGTATACAGTTGAGTGTAAAAAAAGATAAAAATAGTTTTTATTTTATTAGGAGCAAACATGATACTTTTTTGTGGCGAGGCTGTATGTTTGAAAGATTTAAAAATAATACCCGGTTATACCTATTATGGTTACACTCGTTGAATTTGTTACTTGATGTCAGTTTAATAATATATTTTCGTACCTTTCACAAAACATCCCTTTATAGAACTTTTTCTTTAATAGCTATAAAGGGGAGTAAAAGACTAACCGTGCGAAGAAGCACTAGAAGCGCCACCTGTCATCAAATAGTGTAAACATTGCGAAAATTTCGAGTCGCGCTTAACTTTTTATTAATTTTTATTCAATTTTCGTTGATAATCGAAAAAACCCGCCTCTCGTTGGCTTGGAAATGAACATCAAATGATAATCAGTAATTAAATTAAAAAAACCTTCAGATTAATACCATCGATTTCTCATCGTTTTGATTAATCTCACTGTTATGGAAATCTAATTTAAATGTCATAAAAAATTCATATTTACTTTTTGGTTTGTTTTAATACTAGCGATAGTTAATACATATTCGAAATTTTTAAATTTATTGTCAAAATCTATTGTACATAGATGTCCTATGGTGCCACAAAAATATATTCTTCCATTTTAAAAATTTCCTTTTTGTTGCTTATATTTTCAGATATGTCAGACATATACCAGACTACCCGGTCTCCCGCCCACCTATGGAGGAGTACTACGGCCGTAGACAGGTGGTGTACGAACAAGAATACGCTCCGCCCCCTAGGAGGGAGCACGTCAGACCCGCCTACCGAGAGATGCCGCCCCATAGGGCGCCCCCTCCGGAATATTACAAGTACGAAGAGGAACCGTCGTCGAGGGTACACGAAAGGCCGGAAGGACGGGGGGAGAGGGAACGGGACCGGGAACGAAGGAAACCGAAAAGAGAAGTCATAGGTAAGTTCCAAATTATCCATCGAGCAAACGATAGAGTGATAATGATTTTGGAGGAAATCAAATGCTAAATACTAGAGATGAGAAAAACTGTGATTCTCCAATCGCAACTGAAACTGCACTTGCGATTTTTAAATCGCAGCGACTGTAACCTGCGATTCCGATTTTAATATTTACCAAAATACGTTCCGAAATTATTAATTTCCAGTTGGTATGTTTGACCTTTATTAGTTTTCCAAAAAATTAATTTGAATTGAATTAAAATGACATATAACAGCAATCCTTGTCATATGTTCGTTTGCTGGTGATATAGACTTATCTAAAGTCTGTTCAACAAACAAGGGAATTTTTCGACAGGCGACATCCAAAAAAATTACAGAAAATACAATACACCTATGAATTAAAATTATAGGCAACATCTGTCACTGTCATGTACCCTCTCTTTGAACAGACTATATTTTATTATATGTCTTTTATTACATTTTGCAGTACAAAGAGGGCCAGAAGAAAACAGACCAAGCAGAGGCGACGAATGGCAGGATCCCTGGATGCGATCGAAATCGCCAGGCAGAAGAAAAGAACACAAAAGATCATACAGTTCTGGCTCCAGTTCATACTCTAGCAGGTAACATATACCATATGATTGAAAAATGGCTTCAATGTGGTTTGGAAATCACCATCTATATCATTCCCTATATACTATTAGATACATACAAAATGACAGTTGTCTTCATTTACAAGCCATCACTGACGCATTTCTTCGATGGTATTTTATAGGCTGTCCCATTTTCATGTGTTTTATGGGGTATCTAAAAAAATTCTAAAAAAAATGAGCAGATATATAAAAATGCGGTTTTCACATAACTGTGCTCCTTTTTTATGAGACTAAAGATGTTACACACATACATTTGTCCTAGGCTTCGTAGTCCTGATATACAGGGCGAAATTTAAAATGTTGCATTTTTCGACACCCTTCCTATCTTGGTTATATTCTAACTTAAACTAATCGAAAGGATAAAAACCGATGAATGAGTTTCGTAGAGTTTGTTTGACTTAAAATCCAGTGGCGTAACTAGTTTTTCGCTGAGGGCTGTTTTTTTTACCGGAAGTATGAATATTTTTTTGTCTCAAAATATGACTGAAATTTATGTTTTACTTTAAATGGTTCAACGACGTTGAAACACCGGCCTCCGATAGATCACCGAAGTTAAGCGATGTTAGACGATGAACAAGCATGGACGGGTAACTATCTGGAAACTCTATTGTGCTGTTGTTCCATGGCAACAGTGTAAAATTTATTGACACATACTGCATATTCGCGTCGGTCGGTTCGAGGTCGAATGAGATCGGATATCTCGTGAGCAAGAATCAATTTAGAAACTGCCAAGTCGGTAGGCCATTTTCCATGATATGGCCGAGGACCACGGTTCGGATTACGCCTAAACAAAATAGGCCCCGTCCAGATTAGCCACAGTAGCAAAAAAAGACGTTAAATTAAAATACTTTACATCAGTTATAAAATAACCGATCCCAAGGCGTTAAACGCTATATACGGGAGCTATTATTATCATTATATAAAATAACCGAGATACTAGGAGGAACTAAGAGGGCTAGGACAAATTTGTGTACAGGGTGGCTCGAATTCGACGCTCATCATTGGGATTTCGGAAACCGTAAGAGATACAGGATCGGTTAAATGGCGGCAAAGTTGCGCAATTTGATGCTCAATAAAATGCCCTTTTGCATTTTGAAAAATTCCGAATACTTCTGAATATATTCGAAAAAAAAACCGGAATTTTCAATTTTGTTTTCTATTGTTTCCTGGCTTTATTTGTTAAGATAACTTAAAATGAAAAACACATTTTCATGGCCACTTTTTCTGCTCTATAACTCTGTGTGATTAAATATTGACTCTGACGTTTCGGCTTCTGGCGACCATCATCAACTTAATTTTTTTAAATACGGACCTGATTTTTTTTTCAATTTAATTAAATCCTTTCATCACTCTTAAAACAGTATATATAGTCACTTTGATATTTGCCGACATTTTGTACAGAAAATTCCATCACCAGAATATTTTATACAAAAAAAAATAAAAATAAAAAAAAATGCAATATGGCATTTTATTGAGCATCAAATTGCGCAACTTTGCTTCCATTTAACCGATCCTGTATCTCTTACGGTTAAAGTAGCATAGCGATGTGGCAACCACATCTTTGTATCTACTCATAAACGAGAAATCTCATAAATCACACGAAAATTGGACATCCTGTACTGCTGCTTTGATGGCATTCTGTAATTCAATTATTTTTCTATATTAGTTCAACAAGATCTTCATCTCAAACAAGCAAAAGTTCGTACAGATCGAGATCGAGGTCGGCATACCGCACGGAGTCTTCGCGATCAAGAAAAGGTGGCAGACATGTGTCTCCTTCTATCATTGTGTCAGAGAGAAAGGCGGCCAATGAGAGAGCGGCTTTGATGAATCCGCCAGCTCCTAAAAGAAGAGTGCCATCGCCAGGTGAGACAAATATGATAGATTTTATTAGAAGATTTCTTAATAATGAATGTTTTTTTGACGAATAAATCGTGTTAATTTTTTACTTTTTTTTTCATTTGTGATGTTTTTTTTTCATTATTGTTTTATATTGTTTTGTCAATAATATACAATTGAAATATTTTGTAAATAAAAGTGATTATGGTGAATAAGTACATATTATATACAAATATTTTTTTTTAATATCTTTATTGTTACTTTGTCTATGATTATTAAACAGGCAAATTCTAATTAAATGAAGTTATTAATAAGTTTCCTGAATAAAAGCTAAAAAATGTAAAGTTCTAGATTTGACGTTTTTGATATGCACGTCAACTGTTATTGATTTCTCTCTAATTTATTGATATTATACAGGGTGATCCGAACTGTATTCCGGAAACTTCGGCAGCATATTCTGCATATAAAAATAAGTAAAAAAGATTTTATAAATGTATGTCCTAAAATGCTTAGTTTCTGAGATACAGGGTGTAGAAGTTTCATTTTTATTTCGATTATTACCAAATAATATCTGAAGTAACGTCAATATTTGGATGAAAATTGATGTCTGGGAGTTTTTTGACATGAGAAATTTGATTTTGATGTCAATATGACTTCTACTTGTAGAGGGCGCCACCTACATGTGTTTTAACTGTTTTGAAGAGTAATAACTTTTCGTCCGTACCTGTATAAAACTACTGTATGAAAAAAAACATACATTGCCGTAACTTTTTACGTAAAAAACGTCTATTGGTAAAAATCGCTGCGAGCAAGCGTTCTCAAGATATATAGAATAGAAATATTCAATACATGTCATTATTGACAAAAAAATAAACACGTTGAGCTGATAGTTATTTGACTGAAATAATAAATTTGGAAATTTTTTATTTTTTTTTTAAATTAATCATAATATTTTCTGCGAAAAAATGATGATAAAACAGTTTCTGTTGAACTTTTGGCACAAAAACATTTCAAATTTATGATTTCAGTCTAATAACTGTTAGTCATCATGTTTAATTTATGTCAATGATGATAGGTCTTGATAATTTCGATTCCAAATATCTCGGGAACCAATACTTATAGCGATTTTTACCAAGAGACATTTTTTATGTAAAAAGCGTCTTAAATTTATATTTTTTTACTAACTAATTTTATACAGGTACGGACGAAAAGTTATTACTCTTCAAACCAGTTAAAAAATATGTAGGTGGCGCCCTCTACCAGTAGGAGTCATATTGACACCAAAATCAAATTTCTCATATCAAAAAACTCCCAGATACCAATTTTCATCCAAATATTTACATTACTTCAGAAATTATTTGGAAAAAATCGAAATAAAAATGAAACTTCTACCACAAAATATACACCATACAGAAGCGACAAAGAGATTTGCTTCAAAATTTTTAGGAGGGGGTAATGCTGGTTAACTGTCAAACGTGACGTCAAAGAATTATACACCAAAAAAAATTCACGACCGCAGGTATAATTATTTCTAGATATTATGCATAAAAGACTAAAAAATATATTTCATAATTATTTATTTATTTTTAATTCTAAATAAAAATACTGATTTAAATCCCTCTAGCTTTTAAAAATTAAATAAACCTGCTTTTCATCATTTTCTATTAAAATCTAACAATTTTCTTTCAGTGTGAAATGCTGTTCAAGGCGCACGGATGTCAAACGTGACGTCACGCAATTAGTTCCCATTTGACCAATGCTATTCAAAGCTCTTTGTCGCTTCTGTATGGTGTATATTCTGTGCTTCTACACCCTGTATCTCCGAAACCAAGCATTTTAGGACATAATTTATACGAACTTTTTTACCTATTTTTATCTGCAGAATATGCTGTCGAAGTTTCCGGAATACAGTTCGGACCGCCCTGTATAGTTGGTTTTGATATCGATTGTTTTGAATTTGTTTCGTACCTATTCAATTTACTAATTCTAAAACAGATTTAGTAATATAAAACTGACTGGAAAAGTTATGTGGGAAGAAGTATATTCCATTAATAATTTTGCGTACTCCTTGTATCCGCAGATTTGTTCATTTGTGTGTGTTTAGTCAGCCACGTAATCAAGAAATATTTTTTTTGCATAATTAACGCAGCTTTCCCTCAAGTTTTACGGTATTTACGGTGGAAAGGTAATTTATTTTCTCATCACCATGTCACACGGTGTGATTTTTACTCAAAAACGTCAACTTAATTATTTTTCGCACAGTAGGCTTTTGGAAGAAAATATTTGTTTCTGTTGTGTCATATTGTACTATTGAATCTGCGGAGATATGGAATTGAATCTTCTAACAATATAAAAAATATAGATCTTCATACCGTTCCTCCAATAATGCCTTATGTTCAATTTGTTGATCTAATTCTAGATCTTCTTTAGAATGTACTTTCTGAAAAGGGCGTTATAGTAGGCATTAAATATTTACTAGCATAGTTATAGCGTTTAGAAAGATCACCTATCGCTATCGAGAACATTTAAGAGTTATAGAATGGTAGAAGAGTTAGGAAATGAAATATTATTTCATTGCCTACCATGACGGCCTTTCGTTTGATTACTCGTTATTTACAATGCGATGTAGTTTCAGTTCCATATCCTGACTTGTGATTTTTAATTCACTCTTAATAGCGTTTTCTACTGGTAGAACTAGCAAAAAGAAAAAGAGTTAGTTTAATAGTATGTCTAAAGTTGTTTCGTTTTTATGAACCTAGCCTATATGAGAAAGTACAGATAAAAACATGCATAAAGGAAAATTTTCTGACTTCTAAGTTTCAACAAATATAAAATACAATAGGCCAAAGAATCAAAATTGATATAATAAAAATTAGTTCTCTGCGAAACACATTTTTATCCACTACCTAGCGGGGATGTGTGAATAAAAAACCTTAACGTAGAAAACTAGTTTTTTGTGTGTAAAAATCTATTTTTATGAGGTAGTTTTTTGTGCTTATAAAAACGTAAAACCCCATAAAAAAACTACGTCTATAGATAAGTAAAGCTTCTCTACAAACGATGTTAACTGTTATTGGCCTTTGTAAAAAAGAATATTTTTATTTATTTCATCATGTTGGTCATTTATTGATAATATATATTTTAATATTTTGTGTAGTAATCAACATTTCGACCGAAACAATAGAAAATGTATGTTGAGAAGGAAGATAAATGCATTTCGTTTTATTAGTTTTTTTACATTTTGATAATTTTTAAGATTTTTTACGTGATTTTCCGCCAAAACGTAAAAAACTTCAAGAGGCGTGTACTCATCCCTGCTGCCTATTACTGTCCTCCATTCACGCAGTTGTGCAGCTCTGAACTGTTCAAGAACGCGATACTCTCACTTAGCGAATGCAATCCCGCACCAAAATATCAATCCCGCAAACCCGCGGGATTAAAGCAATCAATCCCGCGGATCCGCAAAATAGCGGGACTGTAAACAATAGTCATACATTGGGTCCTAAATGGTACAAAGGGCATTGTACATTTTGCATAGGCCCACAATATATTGTGGGCCTATGCAATATATTGATATAGCGTGTATCTTAAACTAGCTGTACAGAAATTTGGACACAGATGTATACAGGGTGTTTAAAAATATATTTAATATTAAATAAACTTAAATTTTATTATAATTTATCTACTTATTTTATAAATAAAAATATCATTCAGATTGAAGTTTTTTTTTAACTTGTGTTAGTTATCTGCTTTTAGATACACTCTATATCTATATCTATATCAATAATTGTTTGGCATATGCACAATGTACAAAGCTTTTTGTACCATTTAGGGCCATACGTATGACTAAAATGCATATTTTTCGAAAAAACGTCGTATTTTCCTTAAAACAAAAAAAAAATAAAAAACCGATCAAATTGTTTTTTCTAATTTCAATACAGATTCGTCGTACTTGGTAAAAATTTCGATTTTTTAAAAATTGTAAATTTGCGGTAAAAAAGATTCTTGATCAAATTTTCACTCTTATAAAACACCCTATATACGAGAATTCGTTAAATATATTTTCGAAAACCACATCAGTATCTTAATCACAATAGATTCATCTAAAATCTGGTCCAAACCGCATCCCAAAATCATTTTTGGTTCAAGAGATATTCAACTTTAAATTTACCCTAAAATTTTGCTTGTCCCAATAAGTATGTCCGGCAATTTATTTGACGAAATTGTCCACAAGTACTAGTTAAACGCTTTTCTTCACTTACGCATATATGCCAGAAAGAAATCTAACAACTAGCCTGTTTGTTTCACTTATTTTTAATGGCCAAGCCGTAAGGGGAATCACCCGGGTTCCGAGCGTCGACGCATCGGCCCGGAACGAAGCGGTTTGATCTTAATCGAGATCGATTCGGTTACCCAGTAGTAATGTGTTGATCCCGCGGATCCCGCACGGTAAATCCCGCAACTTTGATCCCGCGGAATCTCAGAGGGATCCCGCATTTGGATTGCATTCCCTACTCTCACTCCATTCAATTGAGTCATAAATTTCAGAACTGTTCCGCGCCATATGGAGGCACCAGGCTATCGCGCACAGCTCCTTTCAGAACCGTTCTTGAGTAGCCCAGGGCGTAAAGTTCTGGAACTTGAAATTCGCGAATGGAGGACAGCATATGTATATTTCCTTTGAGCTATCGTGAAAATACTACGATGTTAAATGTCGAAACGAAGGAGACTCTCGCGGTTCTTACTATAAATCTAAAGAAAACGGGCTTATCTAAACCATTTATAACTGAACAACGATTTGACAGATTTTAATGATCTTTGATAGCAGAATAACGGAAAAATTTGCGAAAAAAAAACTACAGGAATTTAATTTAAAAAAAATATATATGTATATTTGAAAATCTGCTATTGACAGCTCATGTCACGTACACTTGTACGAATTGATGTCCACCGTAAATCAGTGACCATACTAGGTATAGCATATTCCAACTTAGAGATATTAAAATATATAGAAACTACTTGAATCGAAATGCAAACAAAAATATAGAGAACAAATGACAACTGTCAAATCAATTGGTGTTAATCATTCCCGCCATCCATGCTGTCGATCAGTCATCCATATCGCCAATATTGACAAAAAACGTCACTGTTTAAGCGGTACAAAGTTAACCGGGTCATATATAATTTTGAATAGATAATAGAATTTTATGGCCTGGCATTTTTTTATGATCGTACAGAAATATGCTACGTAAGACCGGTAGAATTCGCTATATTAGTCAATTTTGTTAATTAAAATATTTTAAAATGTAGTTTTTGTCGACAAATTTAAGAACCAATCTTCTAAGATGTGAGACAAAATCAGTCGATTTTTGTTCATGAAATATACAACTCTCCTCGTTCAAAAATTATCTTTTATTGACTTTTTTCGCAGGTATGATGCGCGTGAGTAGCGCTGCTAACCCTCCAGCTCCCCTAAGGGAAGATTTTGGCAGGGCCCGAAGCAAGCTAGCCGTGGCAGCCGCCATTGCAAGGGTCAAAAGCCGAACTAAGCGAATGTCAAAGTCCAGCTCGGGATCTAGCTCGGCAAGTTCTAGCGATTCGGATTCGAGCGATAGCAGCAGTTCATCCAGCAGGAGCAATTCTTCGTCTACAAGAGACGCCAGAAAAGCTACAGGTAGGTATTAAAGGAATACAAGAAATAAAAATTTTACCTACTTGGTATTTTTTCTACTCCATCCTTGGCAAGTTAAAGTTCTCCAAGGGTAGAAACATAGTGTTCACCATGCAACCAAAAACATAGTTTTACATTCTGGGATAAATTTATGCATCAAAACAAATCGAAGCCAATCAACTTGTTGCGCATCAAACGTATATTTGATGCCAATTAAACTCTTAGTTACGTAATCGAATTAGTTACGGGCGCGATTTTTAAATTCATTGTTGCCAACCATAGACATATTCGGCGTTGGGCTGACTAACTGGAATTTAAATTTCCCGCACTGGAGATTCAGGTGGTAGCTCTGCTGTAACTTAAAAAATGTCAAGTTGCCACATTTATTTATTTATTTCCTGACAATGGGCGCGTTCGGGGACGGTCAGCGGCTGAGTGGCTGAGTAAGCGGTTTCCCTAAACGGTCTCTTTTTACATGCAAAAACAGCCAGCCGCTGAGCAAAATATTCAGCGGTCGGTTAGCCGCTGTGTTACCTGAACGCGCACATTGTCATCATTTTTGAGATTTTTGTTTTGTATTACGAGTTTTTGGTTTAAATAAATTGTGTTGTGATACTTTAAGCTTAAAAACGTTTACTAGCAGATCTTGCCGTCGAACATTGTTCTTTTTAAAACCTCTTTTAGTGCGAATTGTACAAGATAGCTTAATAGCAATAAAAAAACTCCTCGCAACTTTATTAAAATATTTTGAACGGGAAAGCGGTAGTTAAAACGGTAAAGTGAGTTTTGTTGATGTAAATAATAACTGTTTATATATTTATAATTAATTTATTTTTGTTTTCTGAACTATTTTGATTAAAAGAAAATATGTAAAAGTGGGCAACACTGTGTCTGTCAAGCATAATCACGTGATTAAAAGTTTATTTGATATGAACTATATTATATAAGTATCGTCACACGGTGATGAAAACGGCGAGTAGCGCGGCGAGGTGAACTGCTGCACTATGTTTTTACACTTATAGATAAATCTCAGCTTTAAATATGATTCCAATCTTTGAATAAAAAGATTAAGGAAGGAGTATAATGCTACCCATGTTATTTTTGACGGTATTGTTTCAATTGAATTTCACTCGAAATTTTGCGTATATGTTGGGTTTTTCTGAGTTTATTTTATGTTATTTATTTTCGCAAATGGTTTTGTTCAGAGGTAGTAAATCTAGAAGGATATTTTGTCAGAACGTGGTCAGAACTTAAATTAGCAGTATCACTATTGCGAAATCACGAAAAAGACTGTGTAATATGTAGTTGTGCACTGCATAAGATTGCACACAGTAGATTTCGGTTAAAATCGGGATAAATAAGGCAATAACTCTTCACTGGTTACAAGTTACATGCAGTACCCAAATTAATCAATTATGAAATTAACTTAAAATTAACCAATAACACATTTTTTCTTGAATTTTCTCTTTATTTAGGAAGTTCTTTTTAAAAATAATTAAGATACCGTCAATTTGCTTATACGTTTCAGCCGCGTGTCGAATATTTTTGTTATTAAATAATTATCAATTATCATAACTATAATTTTTTATTTGAAATATATTAAAAAAAAGTAACATTGGCATTTATAGACAACATAAAACAAAACCAACAAATTATTGAGTCTACCCTACATTCTTTTTTTACACGTTTTAAATAAAATTAAAATGGCACTGATAAACCAGAGTTAAAGTCAGCTGTTATGATCCTTCCTTAATATTTTTATTCAAAAATTCTAATAGTACCATTAAAGATAGAACTTAATGAAAAATATTTATAGGTAAATAGGATTATTAGAATATACCTTACTCTAAAAACATCTACTCCTTGTTATCATAATGATATTATTTGCAGAAATCGTGAAAGCTATGGACGCCCTTAAGGGCGGCAACCTAGAGAAGACCAAAATAAAACTTAACCTCAAAAATCCGTCTGGTCTGCGGAAACCTGACTTAGCTGACGCGCGCAAACTGGACTCTCTGGCCAAGAAGAGGCCGGCCGCCTCCCCTCCACCTGGCGACCCCAAAGCCAAAAAGGCCACCTCCAGGAGGGAGGAGCTACTCAAACAGTTAAAGGCGGTGGAAGACGCCATCGCCAAAAAACGATCCAAAGTTTAACTGTCGCTTATGGCATATTTGACAGGAGAAATTACGTTTTTATTGTTGGGTTTATACATGTGCCAAAAAGTTTGCTAGAAAAAATTATCGACATATAAAGGCGGATTTTTGTGCATCCGTCATCCGTTGATGTGATCATCCGACGACGGTCTGATTTTTTATATTGTTTTGGTGTCAGTTTTTATCCTAAAATACACCTGTCCGTCAACGGAGAAAGTTCAAATAAATTTAACTTTTCGTATGACAAGGGATGTTTTGACAACTCTAATCTAACCTTACCTTTTTTGGTGACAAATTCTGGGCATTTATCGCTTTCAGGAAGTTGATATTCTCTTTCCAGTTTATATATAATTTTACATTTTAAAAAGAGTGGTAGAAAATTAATAATGACTGATACTAAAATTCGCGTAAAACGTTATGGAAATAAGAAAGCTTGTATTGCTTGTTATCATTGGCAAATATTTTTGACCAATCATACAAGACCGATATGTATTATTCAATAAACGGAGGGGAAGAAACTACGGAATTTTCTAACCAATCAAAGTTTTTAAATTCAACCAATAAAATTAATATCGTATCGTCGAATATCGGACACATGAAGATCCGCCTTAACTCTATAATAAAAAATGTACTTGTTGCGAACTTTTTGCGGCCACTGTATATAGTTGTGTCCAGGCAAATTATTATGAATTAACCTTTATTACATAGGTGTATCGAAGTTTTCTATTTGCCTGAATCCCAAGAAATTAAATTAAAAATAAAATTCGATTTTTTTGTAATTTTTAGAAACTGACAAGTCAAGACTTAGTTTTTTAATATCGACTAAGATAATTGGGTCAGAATCTAAATTGAATTGATTTTGAATTTTATGCTATATAAGGGTATAATAAGTTTTAAAAGTTGATAAAAATGTAAATTAAAAAAACTGAAGCTTTTTTTAGTGTTCTTCATTAAGAATTTTCTTATTAATTTCAATATATTTACTATGGTAGTAGTTTTTAAGTTAGTATGTAGTTGATTTTACTTTAAGATTGTAAATTGTGATACAGCATTTCAGTTATGAAATGGATGTCATTATAATCTCAAAAAATAATTTATAAAAAATGAAGGGTTTAGGGGATAACACGATAAGCGCTATTTTACTAATTTTACAAGAGATCCCTGGACGGCTTGTGGTTATCAGGTTATTTCCCTGTATGTATATTTTTAATAGGCATAAATTAAAATATCACAGGATTTAACAGCTTATTGCCCTGCAGAGTTTATACCTTTTTTTAAAACCCTAAAATTAAGAAATTGGCGCATAATATCATGTTTTCCCCTGGACCCTTGAAATATGATTTTATTCAAGCTAGGGCACACATGTCTGCTAAATATTTATTTTGTATCAAGTCTGTCCAACGAATCAGGGAAGATTTCAACAGACTACATTCAAAAAATGGCAGAAAATACAATTTACCTGCGAATTACAATGACAGACATAACTGCCACTGTCAGGGATCCTCTTGTTAGACAGACTATGTTTAATCTTACAATATTTGAAAAATATTATCTTATATTATGTAATAAAAAAAGGAAAAAATACAGCCAGCAATATTACTGAGGTAAAAAAACTTTTGAACTAAGCAACTATAGTTTTTCTTACGTAACTTTTCCACGTTTGGTCTTTTGACATCGTGAACGTTACCTTAGAAAAGACAATCTAAGGTTACTCGACGCTGTTTTTTCGATAATACAGTATTTTTGCCACAATAACCAAAAAGATGTGTCATACAATGATATATTGTAAAATTATTTTGTAGTGATTTTTTGAAGAAGATAACCATATAGGCTAGGTGCATTCTCCGCCGGTGCTGACGCCCTCGGAGAATATAGTAAACAACCGGCATATACAAATACACGGATTTAAATAGCGAGCATACGAAAAATTTATTATATAATTTTTCTAAAAGTGTTAGGAAGTATAATTTATGAAAATTCTAAAATTAAAAATTAAAAGTAAATATTTTGATATCTTCAGAGGGTCTAACTTGTATTATAATTTATTATTCAAGCTAAAAAAACTTTTTAGATGAGTTCAACTATGGTAGCGAGCATAGTTTTACGCACCGGTTTTGCTAATGAGAGTCATAACTAGTGATGGGATAATTCGAGCGAAAAATCGCTCGAGTACTCGATTATTGAAATAACCGACTTCGCTTGATTATGAACGAGCGATGCAAGTGACGAGTACCAATCGACGAACGCAAGCGATCCTAGAATGAAATAAATTGAAATCTGATTTTAATGTGACATACTTGATAAAAAGCCGAGCGAATTTTCTACATACATTGCAGGTAGCTAATTTATACGAGGCGCGACGCCGTATGTATATTTATCCGTTGCGTATCTGAGGGACAAAATTTTACGACCTACATCGACAATGCTTTGAAATAAACTAAATCAAGGGAATCGCTCGCCGCTTGCTACTTGCCATTCATCACCGAAAGAATATGTGCCCTGCGCACGCAGCTTACTGCTTGGCGCTTGGCGTTAACGAGTACTTACAATAAGCGACGGGTGTAAAACCGTATTTTTAAATACGAGTGATATTTTGCTCGAGCGATTACTCGGTTATTGCAATTGCTTGAAACTCGAGTACTCAATTATTGAAATTAATCGGTTTTTCCCATCACTAATCATAACTGCGGCTGTTTCGGCTATGACGAAATTTTTTAAAGGTATATAATTATAATTTTAGAAAAAATTCATAAAACATTTAAGTATTAGTTGATTAAAAAAAGGGCACCATTAATATTGCAAATTATATTTTATCCCCCCATAGTATATGCTTGTTTAATTTTTTGATTATGTAATGAGCACTTTATTTACTCATTTATTTTGTCATACTGCTTGAATCCATTTTTTGCTTTTGATGAAATAGATGTGAGGTGAGAAAACAATGTGTAAAGCTATAAAATGTTGTTTTCAGAGAGTTGAATATCCGGGAAAGTTGAATTATTGAATGTTATTGCACCCAATAATGACCGAATTACGCCCTCCTTTACTCGTTGATTTTTTGACAATTTTATTAATATTTGAAATTGCTACAAGGCGACGCCTAGTTCGGGTTCTGTTTCACTTAATTTTTACTACCCGAAACAGCGTTACATTACACAAATCTCGTACCTGAGTATTTTATAGTTTCAATAACTACACTAGTAAAAACTGAAACACTTAAATATTATGACAAAGCCACGATTTTAATATTATTTCAATGAGATCAACATTCAACATAAACGGTATTTATACCCGGCACTTCTAACTTCTGCCGTATCGAGCGCTACGGTCGGAATTTTTAAAATTAACTGTAATGCACCAAGCCTATAGGCGTGTCCCTAGCATAGCCTGTTTAAAAAATGTTTAAAATTGTTTACTTAAATTTTTCTTACTCATGTTTAAATTAATGATTAATAAATAAAATGTATTTTGAATGGACTAGAAGTGTTTTAATAGACCAATGATTCTTATTTCACATTTAACTCATCATTTATTTCCTTTATTACGTCATTAAACTAATAAGAAGTGTGTTCTATTAGTATTAACAATTTAATATGAATGTAGGTATATGGCCAGAATATGTTTAGCCACGTTCTTACTATATGGAATAAAATCGTATGTTCAGAACTGTCTTTCGTTTTATTTATTACAGTTATTTAACTCTTGGTGTTATTTATTTATTCCTATTAAATATGTATTCTTATACTGTATCTGACTGTATTGTTATTTATTTTGGGATGGTATCAGATCAGATGAAACAAATGATTTAAAAATATTTCTCGTTAGAAATTTCGATCCAACAATGAATGAAACTAAAAATAGACATTTCTTTTATGTAAACGTCATATTAATGCTTATCGATTTTAAAAAGTTAAAGCGCTATTTTAAAGATCAGTTTCTCATTTCTTAAATTTATATATGATATATTTATATTTTTTATTACATAACCGCGAAAAAAAAATTGGAACGGCACTGTTCACTGTTTATTTTGACCGGTCCCTCTTCTATTATTATTTTTGTTGACAAGTCTATCCCCTCCACTACCGTTTCCGCTCCCCTCATTTTGTGCTTACATTCACCTCGCTGGCAATCTCTTCGTCCCTCCTTCTCTACTGACGTCACAAAATCCTATTAAACGTAACCGGTGCGAGTGAGATACCTATAATACGACCGGCACTCGAAAGAACTTCACCCGTGGAATTGTAGTAGTTTTCAAAACAACCGTAGACCGAGAGGTACTTACGAGAATTTGTGTGTTTTGTGTACGGAATTGTGATTTTACACAATGGATACGCCGCTCAGGGAACAAGTAATGATAAACCAATTCGTTTTGGCGGCCGGATGTGCCAGAGAACAGGCAAAACAAATCTTACAGTCGGCTCATTGGCAGTTTGAGGTAATTAAATTTTCCGTCTGTTGTTGTAAACAAACGTGATGAATATGGCGGCTGCAGACGTCCGGTGCCCCCTTATTTTGCACTGTTGCCGGACGTTTTACAGTGCTTATTGTTATTAATTTCTTTTTTGAGCAGACTGATATTTTAAAAGTATATTTCAAGGACGTCTCGTGTACATTTTTTGTTTATATAATTTCGAATGGCGTTTGGCTAGCTTTCAAAAAGAATAAATTTAGTTTGGTATGTACACAGTGAACTTGATACTTGAATGTTATTAAGGATAGTTCCTATTGATCTAAACCAAACTTTTATATGTATATCAATAACAATTTATTATCACTGGATGAATCTGTCAAGTGTTTCATATCTTATTAATTATTAATACTGTATGATCGAAAAAAAAACGGCGTCAGCCATGGCTATGAAATGAAGATTCGGAAGATCGCTGTCATTTTATATGGGAAATGTCATCGATGTTCATTTCCATGCCAACTTTTTCTCGATCATACGGTATAACCACAGTATAACCAGAACTACCTTGAATGGGAATTAGTTGTAACAGATAAATTTTGACATGCTAAAACAATATTTGGAGTGAATAAACTGATATTTTTGGTTGTTTTAATATTGTTTCATATAAATCATAATAGTAGGCAACGGTGTCGATGCTCCTCTTTTTGGGACGGTTTATCGACTACTCGATTTTGCGATCAAGGGCTCAAGGTCGCACGCGTTAAGCAACATTTCCCTTTTCGCTGCCCTCTGATTAGGGATGGCAACATTTTAAAATATATCGATACATAACATTTATAATAGTGATATGAATGATATATCAAAAGACAAACATCGATATTTATTTATTACCAAACAGGCTCAGGGGCCTAATTATATGGATAAAAAACGTATAATATTCAATATAGCGGAACGAAAGTATTTCATACAGGGTGACAAAAATATCTAATCTCAGGAAAATAGAAAACTGTATAGGAAAATCTTAAATTGCATGATTATCAGTGTTTAAAAGTAAGGAATACTTAGAGTAGAGAAATTATGAAGCGATCAGAACAGAAGTAAATTAAAGGATGTCCCATTTTCGTGGTTCTCCTGTATGAGTAGATGAGGTACCTTATGATCGAAAAAAAACGGCGTCCAGGTGGCTGAGAAATGACGATCGATGACTATTTACCATATATAAATTTACGTATAAAATGACAGCGATCTTCATTTCATAGCTATCGATAACGCCATTTTTTTTCGATCATACTGTATAAAGTGAGGTTTCACATTACTGTGCTACTTTTTTTATAAAACTAAAACTAAAGATGCTAAGCACAGATTGCCATATCCCTCTAACTTCCTGAAATACATGGCGAATATGAAATTGTTGCATTTTTAGTATCTTGGTTATCTACCAACTTATTGAAATCACCTATCAACTTATTGAAAAAGTGAGAACAGTGTCATAGAGTTTCTCACTAGCTTCTATGTCCTAGTAGTCAACTCGCATACTCAACGTTGCTTGCCTTTTGTTGTCCCTTAATTTCGCAGTTTTGCACGCGCATAAACGATAATCCGTCGGGCATTTCGCGTGCAATCTAAACAAAAAAACTTACTCCAGAGACTAACCAACGCAATCAAAACACGCCTACGGCGTATTTTGATTGCTTTTACCACCAACTGTAAATAAATTAAAAATAAAAACAGCTGTAAAAAAAAAATAAAAAAGTTTTGGTTTGTGTTGGGATCTTGTTCTTGTTCCCGAAGCGACGGCCTTACAAATGGATCCACAGCTGGTCTTGGGTTGGCTATATTTGACGTTACTTTCCGCCGTTCTTAAAACCGTTCACAAAATAAGCCGACAGCAAACGGCAACATTGTTGGATATGCGAGTTGACTAGTGGGACGTAGAAATTTCTGAGTTTTTCACCTAGAATTCAGTGGCGCAACTTGTTTTCCGTTGGGAGCTCTCATTTTTGAAATATGACTGACAGTTATATTTTTGAAGTGAAACTTCATTATTCGCGCTGGGAGTAAAAAATTGAAGGCCATGGCACGATACGCGACACAACAAGCGAGAGGAAAAGCGGTAAGGACAGCCTACGGCTTAGAAAAAATCGTCCGATTTAAATGAAATTTGCTATGTCCGTGTACGATACGTGTCACTGTGACAGTTAGTTTTGACGTAAGAAACGTCAAAAGTTGATGTCATCCGATCGCTGCCAGTGCCAAATTTGGTGGGTGTGTTATGCGAGCAACGGTGCACACGGTCCCACTCTGCAAAGTTGGATACGATGTTTCGTTTACATCATAATCAGTTTCGGTTACATCATCATGGGTCACCAACCCTATAAAGCACACGAAAATGGGGTTATATAAATGCGATAGCCGCATTTACCAACTTTTAGACCTTTTATACAGGTGGTTTCCTGCGGATATCGTTCTATAATTCGAAAAGAGTATGTTTAAAAATTGCAAGTATCTTTGTTGCACGTTTTATTGCCACTCTGATGTTTTTTTTATCTTATCTCTACTGTACCAGATATATCGATAAATTTAATATATCGATAAATCGTTGCCATCCCTATGTGCCCTTGTTTTGGTCGTTGCCCGGACAACTAGCTTAATGTTTGTCTGGTGTTTCCGGTAAATTTTTCATGAATCACAACCGGGATCTTCCAGATTTGTCATGCACATTTCTAATCCTAGATCATTCTAATGTATTTTTGTTAAATATTTTTGCATTATTTTTTAATGCAGTTATGCTTTTCTTAGAATTGTATTTTAAACATAAAACAAAAAAAAACTTATAAAAAGTCTGTCTTTGGATTACTAATGAAAACTTTTCTTAGATATTTCTGTTTTGACTCTTTATAGTTTTGTTCGTTTCTGAACTCTTTTGTCTATAGTCGATAGGTTGGACTGTTGGACAAACTTATTGTAATATACAATTTTCTCATTCGATGCAAACTTTATGGAAATCCCTGTATATCGCGGATTAATTTTTCTTGGTATAAACATTTAATGTCATGCGAGCAATGATAAATAATTATAAAAATAAAACAAATAAATAACACTAACCACAATCTAAGAATATCTATAGATATAAATAATTTATTTATTTAACGGCTTATATAGAAATGTCAAAGATCTATGCAAAAATCTACATCATCCATTAAACTAAATTTGTTTGGAGAATATTGCCAGCAAAAAGAGCCTATATATTTATCATGTCTGACTAAATAATTATGGAAAAGGTTAAAGGTCGCCGGTTTGTTTTATTATTAAATAAAACGCTGTTTCATGTCCAATTTTGTAGAGTAATTTTGGCGTAAAGAGCCAAGAATACACTAAATACCCTTGAAATTTTATTCCGTATTTACAACTTGGTATTTTCTTGATTCAAATTGGATACCCTGCTGGCAACTGTTTCTTTTGGGTCGGTATTTACATGTGTGGAAGTAAATCGCATAGGGATCTTATTTAGTCGGAGTGAGAGATATGCGATGGTGTCCTGCAGCGTTGTTGGTACGCCTGTCCCTATCAAGTAAAGTAAAGTCATGATGGGAAACCGCTTATTTTTAAAAGACTTTTTTTTCGAAAAGATAACTAGATAAAATCATTAGATATGTTTCTGAGCATCTGAAATGGAATTATAAGGATATCGTTAGGGTTAGGTTAGGTTAGGTTTTTTTTAATAATGAGAAAACGTCAGTAATCGCGATAACATTTTAACACATAAAGGTACGCGCACAAGGACCAGAGCCGCACTCGCCGCATCGAATGAAGATAACATAGATTAAAGGATGATTCACAGTACACCGGACCGTGCCCGAGCCGGGCACGTTCCGTGAAGTAGACACCGAGCCACGTCCGATCCTTCTGTATATGCAACACCGAGTTGATAACGGGGTTCGTATTAGTTCCGAGTATATTAGAAAACACAGCCCCATAGACACACGAAGATTTAATACGAACAATGCCAAAGTTCTCGCAGTTGGAAATAGTACCAATTGCAGTCGATGAATAAAGAACAACACCTGCAGGGGAAACACCTGCTCAAAGGAAAAGATGAAGGAGCTATCTTGTTCATTACATCCTTTCATTGTCCAGTTTTACGCATACCCTGTCGTCAAATACTGCTGTAAGATTCACTCAAAGAACCGCCGAAACAAGCTCGGCACGCCCACTACGCCGAATAGAAATGTCTTTCGAAGCGTCCGTTTGGTTCCGGAGCAAGTGAATTCCATCAGAAATTTTCTCCTGCCGATGCCGTTCGCGTCTGAACGGTATAAAAAAAACAAAACAAAGCGAAACAAGCAAAAAATAAAATAATGCTGGCCGTTGCAAGCAATATGGAGGACGAGAGATTGATTTTGTTAGTTCTTCTATCTTTGTTAGTATTAGATTTTGTTAGTTTCTAAAAATAATTATACTAGAATCTGGAAAAAAGTCAAGGAAAATCTTTTCTCGGTCGTAAGTTCTGAGTTCTGAGGAACTTTTTCGAGTGGCTTAGACCGTAGAACGTTAGAGAATTCCCATCCAGGTGACGGTTACTAACAGAGATAGATAAACAGTTATTATTTACATCAACAAAACTCACCTTCTTAACAGCACTTAAGGAACACAAAGGGCCATTACTACCGCTTTCCCGTTCGAAATATCATAATAAAGTTGCGATGAGTTTTTTACGGCTATTATCTATCTTGTACTAGACCTCGCACTAAAAGAGAAAGAACAATGTCCAACTGCAAGGTCTGCTAGTAAACATTTTTAAGCTTGAAGTATCACAACACTATTTATTTAAACCAACAACTCATAATTAAAAGCCATGCTAAAGTTTCAAAACGAATGACAATGTCAGGAAATAATAAATAAATAAATGCGGCAACTTGACATTTTTTACAGCAGAGCTGTCACCTGAATCCACAGCGGGAAATTTAAATTCAACAATCAGCACGGCGCCGAATATGTCCATCGTTGGCTACAATTAATTTAAAAAT